GTGCCTTCCTGACTTCCTAACCTCCTCCTCTGAGTTGTGCAACAGTGAATTAAATGTGCTTTCCAAAAAGAATTGCTAAGGCTGCCCAGTGCTTCCTGTGTTGTTATTTCTGTTTCCTTTGGGTGAAAAGAATAAGTGTCATTGCCTCACAAATGATTATTTTAGAACAAGCCTGTTTCCAAATGTAACAGAATGATGACTACTACGGGAACTGAAGTTAGCTTCAGAACCCAGAGTTCTTCTTTAGACTTTAATAACATTTTCAAAATGAGTAAGTTGTTACTGTTCTAAGAGTTATAGTATTGTGTGTGTGTGTGTGTGTTTTTAATTGGGGATTTTTAGGAGCTTGTGTAAACTCAACAGAACAGACTGTCAGTTTAGCCTAGGTTTTGTCTGCAGAAAGCATAAATAGGTAAAATAAAGGCTTAATGGCAAATTATGTACAGGAGCATTTAAATGCTCAACTTTTTTTTAAGGCAGTGGGTCTCAAAGTTTGGTCTCAGAACTAGCAGCATCAGTATCACCTGGGAACTTGTTAGGAATTAAACTTCAAAAGCCTCACCCACAACAACTGAATCAGAAAATCTGATAGTGGGGCCCAGAGTTCTGCGTTTTAATAAGCCCTCCTGGTGATTCTGCTGCATGTTCAAGTTTGAGAACTACTGATTTAAGGAGTCACATGCCTATCCTTCTGGCCTAGAAAGACTTTTACAGTAAGTCAGCTCAGTTGCTAAAAGATTAAGAACATACCTTGGCTGGGGCTGGCCCGGTGGCCGAGTGGTTAAGTTTGCGCGCTCCGCTGCAGGCAGCCCAGTGTTTCGTTGGTTCGATTCCTGGGCGCGGACATGGCACTGCTCATCAAACCACGCTGAGGCAGCGTCCCACATGCCACAACTAGAAGGACAAACAACGAACAATATATAACTATGTACTGGGGGGCTTTTGGGAGAAAAAGGAAAAAATAAAATCTTAAAAAAAAAGGAACATACCTTGGCTGATAGATTAAGAAAATCAAATATCTACCCACACAAAATGAAAATCTACTTTGATCCATTTTCCAGGTTAAGTGATCACAGCCTTCTTGGGTTCATTCACAGCCACAAATTTCCAAGGAAAACCAGAAGTAATAGGTCAGAGTCATAGGAGGAAAAATAGCTATCAGGATACTTTGGCAGGCAGCTAAGAAAAACTTTTATGTATACCAAGCTGAAGCAAGAAAATACTCTTGCAGCATTTATTTATGGGAGGTGGGATCAAAATCTTAATTATTGACATTATCATCCTATAGGATGCCAGAATAAGACTTTAGAATTTGTAACTTCACTTTTTGCTATTTAAAATTTATTGAGCACCGACAGTGTGGGATTAAAGTACTTTACAGAACACTCATAACATAATCTTTGCCTTTGAGTCTTACATTCCTTACACAATGTACATTTTTTTAACACAATACAGTGTGTGACATCATAAAAAGATTATGCAGACACAGACTGAGTCCTTTTATGGTGAAATTTTGTGAGATTCACTGTTTTATTTACATCATGGTAACTGATGGCTAAATGGATGAAAATGGAGGGCTTTATGTGAAAATAAAATGAAAAGCTATGTCAAATCGTATTTGTAATCCTTTAACTCTTGGGCTCTGTAGTCTGAACTCTATGGTAACAGCCATCTAAGGACAGCTGGGATCAATTACAAGCAGTTGTCTTGGAATTACAGTGCACTCATTTTTCACACTGATATAAGGAGACAATAACATATGCTTTGAAAGTAAGCCATTTAATATTTGTTGAAAATAATTTCTATTTGGTTTTGTAATATAATCTATTTCTGGAGATATATATATACATATATATATATTCCTAATTTGTTTTAGTTTGACTAAAGCACACAAGGAGGCAATTTTAAGTGCTTGTGATCAGGGTTAACCATAACGTCAAGTAAAATTTTAAAAATCCACTTAATGTGGCTACCCAAGAACGGTTTGTATGTGAAAGAATTATAGGTCAGGAACAAGATTGCATTCTTTGCAACAGCTAGTGTCAGTGATGTCTCTCCAACTTCTTGGATAGAGGAAACATTTTCATCAATTGTGTATTTTCTGACAATATACCAAAGAGTACACACAGAACCTAAGTATTTAGAAAGCAACATTTAGGAAATTTAAGAGCCTTTAGACAAAACTTCCTTTGTAAATTATTCTTGATCAGTGTTCCTGAAAAGAACTTTATAAGGAAAAAGTTTCACAATTCATTGTGTTTTACCTAATAAATTAGTTGGGCGTTCTTGTGACTCATACACAATTGGCATGATTCTTTGGAAAGGTCAGTGATGAGTGTGTAAATATCATTTTGTGGCCAATGGAAATACTTTGTTAAGAAAAAGGAAAAATGCTGATGGATGATTGCTAGACTTTGCTTTTCCTGACCCTTGTAATCACCCATTGTGACAGAGATTGCTAATTGTGCCCGTATTTGTTTTCCCCTTCTCATATAGTATTAGAACTCCTAATTTTTAGCTGGGCACATGGCTGCCCAGAATAAATGCTATGTTTCCTAGCCTCTCTTGCAGCTAGGTGTGCCATGGCCATCTCATAGACAGTGAGATGTAAATACAAGAGGTGCATACAACTTCCAGTAAGTGCCACTTAAGGGAGGGAGCAAGCCTTTCTTCTCCCTTCTTCTTCCCGCAGGCTAGAAAGTAGAGATAATAGCTAGAATTTAAGCAGGCATCATGGATCAAGATGTGACCTAGGGGATTGTATTGGTTATCTATTGCTGTACAACAAATTATCCCACAATTTAGCAGCCTAAAATAACAAACATTATCTTTGAGTTTCTGTGGTCAGGAATTCAGGAATGGCTTAGAGTCTCTCATGAGGTTGTAGTCAGGCTGTTGGCCAGAGCTTCAGTCAATTGAAGGCTCAAAGAGGCTGAAGGATCCTCTTCCAAGGTGGTTCACTCACATGGCTGTTGGCAGGAGGCCTCAGTTTCATGCTGGCTGTTGGTGATAGGCTTATTTCCTTATCATTTGCACATTTCCATAGGACTGCTTAGTGTCCTCATGGCATGTCAGCTGGCTTCTCCCCAAGTGAGTAATCCAACAGAGAGCAAGGAGGAAGCTGCAACATCTTTTATGACTTAGTTTTGTAAGTGTCACATCATCACTTCTGCCATGTTCTATTCATTATATGTAGCTCACTAAATCCTGCCCACATTCAAGGGGAGGGGACTAGGTGCCACTTCTTGAAGGGAGGAACATTGTAGTAGACAGAACCATTGCCTGCACACCCCTACCCCCACACCTCCAAAGATATCTTTGTCCTAATGCCTAGAACCAGCACATATGTTACGTACACAGAATATAGGACTTTGCTTCTGTAATTAAGAATCTGGAGATGAGAAAATTATGGAGTACCTGGGTAGGCTTAATGTAATCATAAGGATCTTTATAAGAGGAAGGCAAGAGAGTCAGAGTGAGAGTAGTAAATGTAAGGATGGAAGCAGGTCAGAGTGATAGAGCCATGAGTCAAGGAATGCATACCACCTCTAGAAGCTGGAAAAGGTAAGGAATGGATTTTCCCCTAGAGCCTGCAGAAGGAGTGCAGCCTTTGACTTTAGCCCTCTAAGACCCATTTTGGATTTCTGACCTCCAGAAATGTAAGATAATAAATTGTTTTCTAAGCCACTAAGTTAGTGGTAATTTATTACAACAGCGATAGGAAACTAATACAAGCATCAAAGTATTTGTGGACATATTTTGAAAACACCACAGTCCGCCCTCTGGCCACAAATTATTTATAGTCCTCCCATATGCAAAATACACTCACCCCTCCCAAGGCCCCAAAGTCTTAGCTCATTATAGCCTCAGCTCAGAGTCCTTATTCTCTACATAGGTCCAGGGGAAGATGAGGCTTCTTGGATGTAGTTTTTTCCATCCAGCTCCTTGAGTATAGTACCTCTCAATCTGAAGTCCTGTGAACTAAAGCAAAAAGCTATATGCTCCCTTCCTACAACCACGAATGTAAAATGAGTGGGACAGATAGGTACAGGAGGGTACGGGTTTGCAGTCACATTTAAGACCTGGAAATAATTCTCCATGGCTTTTGGTTCTACCCTCTAGGCTCCTGGTTTCATCCTCTAAGTCATCCTTTTTTTCATGAAAGGTAGCATGTGTTTGCACATACATAGTTTTCTCAGTCTGTTTCCCGCTTATAGAACTGGAGAGTCCAAAGGCCTCTTTCCTTTTTTTACTCTATCTCTTTCAGCCCAAGCTGGCAGTGTTTCCACAATACAATGCCCTTTTAAAAATTGTGAATCTCCTGTGAATCTTACTGAGTTTCAGTCTATGAGATAAAAGACATACCCATAAATACCTTTGATATAAATCTTTCTCTACCTTGGGCTTCTGCTGGAGGACAAATACCTTAAGCTTTTTAGAAGCTCTATTGTTTGAGAGGATACGAAAAGCATAACCTTAAAATCTTCAGAGTCTTTTCTCTGATTGAGAGGTACTCTGAGGTACCTCCCTTAAAACCACCACTGGAATGAAAACCAGTGTAGCATAAAATAGAAGCCCATGTCCCTGCAACTATGGTACATGATGTTAGCCCTGGAGTGTCTATCTCAGGACCTCTTCAATGTGAGAGAGAAAATTCTATCTTGCTTAGGTCACTATTATGGAAGGATTTTCTGTTACTGGTAAAAGAATCTAATCTTAATTAATATACCCTTAGTGCAATTGGGGGTCTGTGAAACTGACTAATACAGTAACTAACTAATCAGTAGATTCACTATAAAAAACTACAAGTGTTTAAGACTTGTTAAGTATCCACAATGTTTTGATCAGTATACAAACTGAACCTATTACAATCCTTACACATTAGAAGTTGATGCTTTATGAATAGGTGAAAAATGAGTGGATTCCATTAATATCATAAATAGGCTGGAGGGTGGAGAAGTAGGGAATGGAGGGTGGGGTGTTTACAAAAATAAAAGACATAGTCTCAGCACTTAGAATAAAGACTGTTTAGGGAGATAAACTATAAACGTTTTAAAAGTACTAAAACAATGCTTACCGAGTAGGGTTCAAGACACAAATGAGCACAGTAGTATCACTGAAGGAATTAACTATTATAACATTTATTGAGCACTACATATACATTTTTGAATTATCACAATCCTGGGACAATGAGGAAACTGAGGCTTAGAGAACATAAGTAATTCTCCCCACCGCATATAGTACATAAATAGATCAGAATTTGGATAGCTCTGTCTCTAAAGCCCATGCTTATTCCTCACAATGTAAATCATAGAGAGAGCGCTCAGTGGATCAATGAGAACAAATTTATCTATACGTTTGTAAAGAAAAGATAGTTTAAATCGTGGGCTTTGGGGGGGGGAATATTTTCAAAATGCTCTTTCCTTGACACAGCACTTACAACTTTAGCAAACTTTAAAAATGATTAATTTCACCGAATTGGATTTATACAACCTTTTAGAGACATAACTGGCGAAAGCCAGGAAAAATCGCTTTGTGTCTTTTCTTTTACCAATATCATTTCATCTGCAGGAGTCACGAAAAGAAAAGTTAACTTTCAAAGAACAAGTTTCTCTTCCAAAAGTAAGCGTCAGTCCGCTGAAAGGTAGCCTGGAACAAATTTCAGCAAAGTAGTGGGACAAATGGCTGCGAGCTGCTCTCCATTATTGAGCAGTAGAAACCGAGAAGGATGGAATGTTTCAGAAGAAAGGAAGGGCGGGAGGCATTCAAAGGATGCATAGAAGATACAATTGAGAAGGAGTCAGATTAGGGAGGGACAGTGCACCAGAGAATGAATAGAGCGGGGAGCGTGAAGGATGGAGGGGGAAACCGAGGCGGGGCGTGCGTAAGGAAAGCGCGGAGGGGAGCCCCGCCACTCGCGTCCCGGCCGCCGAGCCCCGGCGCGGTGAGGTCACAGGCCTTTATGAGGTGGGGCGGAGGGGCGCGGCCGCAGCGCTTCCCAGGCGGCGCAGAGGCGGCGGCGAGCTCGGCCGCTCCCCACGGGACCGGAGCTCCTGCGCCGTGACAGCACCGGCGGCCCGGCTCTCGCGCTGGCCCGGCGCGGGCTGCTCGATGGGCGGAGCGTCGGGCTGGGTCAGGTGACCTGGGGGCGGGGCCTCGCTGCGCGGGAGCCTGGGAAGGCGGTGGGCGGGAGCGTCGTGCGGCGCGAGGCGCTGAGAGGCGCGAGTCGAGTCGTGCGAGAGAAGCGCTGACCCGCCGACGGCAGAGGAGCGGGCCTGGGGGCCGTGTGGGAGTGGGGACAGCCCGAGGAGCCCGGGGCCCGACGGTGGGCTTCTCGGGATGGAGGCAGGGTGGGGGGGCGCAAGACTCGCCAAGGCGATGGGGAAGAGGGGAAGAGCCTCTTAGGTGACGGGGGAGAGTGCAACACAGTGCGAGGGACACGTAGAACAGTTAGGAGATGGGGGAAGGTTCCAGAAAGGGCAGCGGGGTGACGGGACGGTCAAGGGGCCGAGTGAGGGGTGACTGGGCCGGAGGTCCTGCAGAAATGGCGGTAGTTTCTGTGCTTGTTTCCGCGTCTGCTTGCTTTTCCCCCAAGGAAGTGCTAAGCTTCGCAAGAGCAGAGCCTTGCGGAGTCCTCCCCAGCACCGGCTCCTGCGTGAAGCGGATGGTGACCCAGCGTTTGTTAAAGACGGTAATGGGCGATCAGGGTGATACATTTAACGTTGAACTTTGGTGGCAGTAGATGCGGGGAAACTGTGTAGGCGGTGGCTGTGGACCGACGTTTGCAGTGCGCGGGCAGCGTGCGAGGGGAGCGGTCGGGAGGGGAAGAGTGGGAAGTCCTGTGTGAAGGGATGTCCCCTTAGGTGTTAGAAGCAGCGAGTTATTCCGTGGAGGTGGTGATAACTCACCAAGTGAGAAAGGACGACTGTGAGAGCACAAGGTAAACAAACATTCAAGCGCCAAGCCAAAACGAGTGTTATGATGGACTTTTGGAGTCAGATTCTCTTTTTCTCTCTCAGCTTGGCCTCTTGATTTACTGAGAAGCTGTGGAATTTAGTGGAACTGTCCCTGGATTTGGGAGTTAGAGAACTGAATTTTGCGACTATCTTGTAGTGTATATTGTGTGAGCAAATCGCCATGTCTCTGGCATCAGTTTCCTCATGTTTAATAAGGGATTTAGACTAGAAAGATTTTTAAGATCATTTGAGCTCTGTTATGCGTTCTGTGATTTCATGTAACAGTAAACAAGGAATCCTCCCCCACCTCAACTTTAACATGTATCTACTAAATTAGAAAATTTTGAAAATTCTGTACTCTGGCAAGGATTGGAAAACCCTTGTAGCTTGGTCTGCATAGGAAATGAATCAATCATGATACTTTAAAAAATACCTTTGATGTTTCAGAGAGTTTGGAATTTCTTCAGTTCTTTTTGGAGTTTTTGATGAGGCAGATGATGACAACCAAGATGCAAGGGAAAACCAGAAAGGATAGTGTGTGTGTGGGAGTGTGGTGGGCAGAATTTAGGGTGTGGCTAGTGGTGGCTATTTTCTCTCTTTCTAGAACTACTGGGACCAGAGGGGAGATAGATGCCCTTCTGGATTCTCATAGCTGCTTCCAGATGTTTCTTCCTCCCATTCTCAGAAGGCTCAGTTTTGCATCTCACGTCATCAGATTATGTCACCCAATACCACTCCTTGTGGCAGTCAGATTTCAGCTGGCTTTCTGCTGCTCTAACACTACTGTCATAATTCTTCTGATTTTAGTATTCATGTAGATGATCTTTTCAATACTCTGTTTTCTCACTTCCTGCCCTCTCCTCCTACAATAATTTCACCTTTCCTCAGTTACTTTCTCCCTTCTTCATAGTTCCAATTTCATATTATCTCAACATGTCCCATTGTCCAACCAGCACATTCCTATCTTTCAGGTACACTCCAACTCTGACAATCTGTGGACCCCACCAGAATCTTCAATCTACTCTTTTTTTTTTTTTTTTTTGATTTTTTTGGGTTTTTTTTTGGTGAGGAAGATTGTCCCTGAACTAACATCTCTTGTCACTCTTCCTCTTTTTTGCTTGAGGATTGTTGCTGAGCTAACATCTGTGCCAGTCTTCCTCTATTTTGTATGTGGGACCCCACCACAGCATAGCTTTATGAGTGGTGTGTATGTCCGTGCCCGGGATCTGAACCTGCAAACCCCAGGCCACTGACGTGGAGTGCGTGAATTTAACCACTATGCCACCGGGCCAGCCCCTCAATCTACATTTTTTTTTTCTTTTAATATCACTTTACCCTCTCTTGTCTTTCCTTCCCACTCACCTACTCAGTTTGTTTCACTGTCAATAAAACCATTCCCTTGCATCCCCCCAGTTCCTTTATCACCTTTTCAGTTCATTTTACTTTCTTGCCTAAATCAAAACCCTAGGTTAAATCTGGATCTCTGCCTATTGAGTGCCACCATTCCCATATTGAACCATCCTTACTGGTTTCACTTTAAATTCACAAGCGTTAACCTCGAGGGGTCCTTGATGCTGCCCAGCAATCATATCAGATTCTCCTGGGCTGTTAATACTTCCTCTCTCCTAGATGACTGTTTTATAACTATACCTTTCTCCTCAAACCTGAAGTACCACCTTTCACATTCTCATTCTTAGTTTGATTACCTTGCTTTATGTTTCACTAAGAAAACTAAAGCAATCAGAGATGATTTTCACAAGCTTAAACAACCACATCTACTCACCTCTTCTGTGTGTAATGATGCCCAGTTACTCTACCATATCTCCTATTACCATGAGTATGTTCTTAGCTAAGGCCAGACTCTTCCCTTGTGCCCTAAATCCCATCTCCCTTCTCCTACTTGAGAGTATTTTTCCAGTAATTTTCCCCTCCGATATGATCAGTTTTTGCTCTTTTACTGGATTATTTCTATCAACATGACTTTATTTTTCCCCATCTTAAACCCTCATAATACCATTTACCCCTCAGCTACTACCTCATTTCTCTTTCTTATTATAGCGTAACTCCTTGAAAGAGTTCTCTCTTCTGACTGTCTGCAATTTCTCTACCTGATTCTCTCTCGAACTCACTCTAGGGACATTTTTTCCTTACCATACCACTGAAATGGCTCCTTGTAGGATCGTTGATGTCCTCCATGTTGCAAAACCTAATGGCTCATTCAGTACTCATCTTGACCTAACAGCAGCATTTGTCACAGTTGATTACTCACTCTTCTTTTGAAGTACTTTTTTTCAGTTGTCTTTCAGGAACCCAAACCCACCTGATTTTCCTTCCTCATAGCAACAGAGTGATCCTTTCAGAAAGGACTTCAGATCATGTCATCTCTCTGCTCAAAACTCTTCATTGGCTTCCCATCTCCTCAGAGTACAAGCCAAAGTTCTTACGATGATCTAGGAGCCCTCCGTGATCTGCCTCCCTCCCTTGACCTCTCTGAGGTCCTGTCCTCCCTCTTTCCCCTTTGCTTTCTCTGCTTCAGCCTTATGGGCCTTCCTACTGTTCTTTGAACATTCAGACTCCTTGCTTCAGAGCCTTTGTACTTGCTTTTCTCTGGCTGAAATGCTCTTCGCTAAGATATTCATTGGCTCCCTACTTTAATTCCTTCAGGTCTATACTAACAAGTCTGTCTCTCAGTGAGGTCTTCCTTGGCTACCCTATCTCTTCCCTGCATCTCTCCTCCAGTGCCATACTTCATATTCCCTTCCCCTGCCTTACCTTTTTTTATTAGTACTTATCACAGATGACATACTACATATTTTACTTATCTATTTTATTGTCTCTCTCCCCAACTAGATGTAAGCTCCATGAGAGCAGGGTTTTTTTTTTTCTATATCCCCCGAGTCTGGAAGAAAGCCTAGAACATAGGAAGCATGCATAATATATGTGCTGAATTCATGGATGGAAGGATGTATGGGTAGATGATTGGTAAAGAGGGATACAGCTCTTCATTTCTCTTGGTTTGTCCTTGCAAGTTCACATGTATGTCATAGTATTGAAAGAGTTGAGAAACAATTCTGTTGTCAAAGTTATGAAGAAGAGACTTACTGTGCTATTTTTTTCTCTTAGCTTAGAGAGGGTTATGTGGTATCTGATTTATCCAGTAGATTAAGACCTGCCAACTTTTCGATAATCAGATCAATAAATTATGAAACAGTTCTTCCTTCTAGGGTTTATTTAAATCATGCTTACTCTCTTAATTAAATTCTTTGATAACTTAAGAACTCTTGGTAAGTAAGCTCAATAGAGAGGGAATTCCTTCCTTCCTTGCTTCCCTCCTTCCTCCCTCCCTCCCTCTCTTCTTTCCCTCACTCTTCCCTCCCTCCCTCATTTCTTCCCTCCTTTCTTTTCTTCCCTCATTATATGCATATAACATTGTGCTTGGTACTGTGAGAAATCATTCAAAGAATGATAAGATACCAGTCCATTCCTTAGAAATTTAGGCTATATAGTTGATACAAGAGCTATATGTGTGATAATTAAATAAAAATACAAGGCAAATGATTAATGCCAGTTGAATAGTGAAGACATTACAAATAGGGAAGACAATAAGTGCTATACCAAGTAGTTTAGAGGTAAAGATTGAACTGGTTAAAGAAGATCTAGAAGAAGTCACGTAGAGTGGGTTGCTATGGAAACCTGTGTAATCTCCTAAAGTCTTGTGAGATGGGTATTTTTAATGTGGTTTCATTTTATTTTTAACATGTTTTGAATTCTGGGAATGTTGGACATATCACATTCAACAGCAATTACTATGACATATTTCAGAAATAAATGATTTTAAAGTACTGTCTCCCTATAAGACAGAATACTAAATACTGCAGTTAAACTTCACAATATGAAAAAGGCATTGATAATTGCAACTAATGTAATATAACTAGCAATGTAATAAACAGCTCATCAAATGTGACTTAGATATGAGTAAAAAAGCCTGAAAATTTTGGAAATTTCTAAAATTGGTATGTAAAGTTGGTTATCACATTTGCATAATGTAGAAATCTTTGGTTTAAAACAGGGTAAAACATCTTTTGTTTGCAATAAATGTTTTGTTTTGAAAGGTATGATGCTGAAGACCATGGGCTTTTGATTTAGGCTGCCTGAGTTACCTCCACTATTTGTTGGCTGTATAAACTTGGGCAATTTGATCTAAGTCTTTATTTTCCTCATCTGTAAAATAGGGGTAATGATAATTCCTTAAAGTATAGTTGTGAGGAATAAATGAAAGAATTCATGTAAAAGTGTTTATCGTAATGTCTAGTACACAGTAAGCATTTAATAATATTAGCTGTTACTGCCATGTTAGCAGTTCTGCTTCTCTGGGTTTATTTGAATAAATATACATAACTCGATTTGTCTGCTTTTGATTCATTTGAATTTGGATTTTTCTACTGCTCCTTATACCACAAAAGATAAAGTTAAGAGACTGGATTATCTCCTGTGATTTATGATTTTTGAACTGCTTTTTTTAGCTTTTGTATGCATATCTGGGTTGGGAAATATCTATTAGGTGTTATGCTGTATGTGAGTGTTACATTGAAGGGATAACTTGAGGTAGGTAAATATAATTCCTTAAGTCTCCTAAACAGGCACATGATTCTTTCTTTTTGTTTGTTTTTGGCAGGAAATCCTTTTGTGCTGTTGCTCATTTACACTTGTTCATCAAGGCCTTTAAGTCCTCCAGGGCAGAATTTACCTCTAAACAGAAAGATGGAAACTAAAGTACATTTATTCTACCAGGTATTTTTTTCAAATAGTTTCCAAAGATTCTTTCTTTTTCTTTTTTTATTAGTTTACATTACCTCACATCCATAATCAGTAAGCAGATTCATAGAGTAATATAGTCATAGGATCTTGCTTAACAACTGAGATGACTTTTGAGCTCTTTTAGTGGACATATATTGAACTCTCATCCCAGCAACCCATGTCGTATCAAGAGATCTGTGGTGTATACTGAGAGTATTTTTGGGGATAGCGACTGGGATAATTTTTCAGGAGACCAAAGGATTTAAACGTAAGCGAGAGGTTGTATATAATGTAATTAATGATGTGGGAGTCTAACCAAAAGGTAATATAAAAGATACTAAGTTTCTTTAGCTTTCTTATCTGTGATTTAGGGAATATTCTTGTATTGGCCAGTGTTCTGTCAAATAAAAAACAAATATGGACTTAATAAAGAGAGGCTTTGTTCAAAAAGATTATTGCAAGGAGGAAAGGGACTATTGAAATAGGAGGAGGGGGGAACAATTGCAATAGAAAGAGCACTGTGACCATAAGATCTGTAAGCAACTCAAGGGCTAGGCAAAAAGGGGTTTTCTTTTATAGAGAGGAGCAAACAAGGCTAGGAATAACTGGATATGGAGAAGTGGGATGAAAGAGTGGCATGATGGGATAACTAGATCAGAGAATATTTTACTGGGAGGCCAGCCTGTTCTCTGGTGGGTTTGTATGCTGGCTCAGGCTGAGGTTGGGTCAAAGTTCAGGGTCCTGGAGAGAGGAGAGAAGCTTAACCAAAGTTTAGTTAATAAGTATTTTGTTCTGATTAATCAGTGGGGATAAAACAATTCAGCTAATCATTTATGAGACAAAGAAAGGGAATTTTGAAAGTGTTTGGTCTTGTCATAGGTAAACAAGGGGAGCATCGTGAATCATATCTAAATCATGTGGGGAAGGGTGGTTCTTTGCAGTAAGCTATTTTCCAGAACACAAAAGGATGAGGAGATTCCTTTAATCTTCACTGTTTTCCAGGAGTGCAGGGCTCAGGTAAAATTCAGCATTGTCAACTGAGAGTCTTAATAATTTAAACTTATTCTTTTAATGGATTTGGTGCCACCATGTAAAACATATGCCTATACTATAAATCCAAAAACAATTTCAGGGCTTCTTGCTAGGTACTGAGATATGTAACTTATAGCATATCTGTATTTTTAATCTGTTCTATCTTTTTACAAATAGTACTTCGTTGATTGTACCCTTATAAACTGATTTTGAAAGTGAATTCTTAAAAAATTAAAAAAATTAACAATATTAAAATATCATAGCAGTTTATTTTCCTTAGGCTATATAGTTTGAACTTCACAGATGGTTCACCTTTAACCATAGAGTTTCAAAGATTCTTTTCTTCCTTTTCTCTTCTGTGTTGTTAGTTTTTACTTAACTATTTAACTGTTCCCATTCATCTAGCCTTTGATAACAGGTTTTTGTGCTCCTCTGTCTTTTTAGATTCCCATCCCTTTTTTTTCCCCTGGTTTCCATTTTGGGTCATTTTTCTCTCTTTGGGTCTCATTTCTCTAGGAATCCTTTCATTATTCGTAATAAACTCTCATCAAGGCAGTAAGTCACATTTCCTTTTTGAAACAAGTTGTTAAAGGTGTGCCTCTGTTGTAAAACAAATGTATGCAGATTCTAAAAGATTTCCATCTCATTTGGAAATAGAGGTTCTCTCTGAACTCCCTTGGTAATCCGCTTTATAATTGCCTGTATGATCTGTTCAGGCATTAAAAACTAATGCACCTTTGATCAACTAGATTCAGTCCAGTTGTTTTAAGCAAACAGCCAAGTTTCAAGAGAGAATATTTCTAACTTCATTCCTCTTTTTCTAAAGATGTTTATTCCTCCTAAGCTCTAATTCCTTTTTTTAGGTGGAGAGGTCTATTTAGAAGCGATATAGCTTTTTCTTTTTTTTCTTAGTCGACTATTTTTTATCGCAGTTTTAGATTAACAGCAAAATTGAGTGGAAAGTACACAGAGTACCCATATAACCCCTGCTGCTGTACATGCACAGCCTTCTCCACTATCAACATCCTGCACCACAGTGATACATTTGATGTTACAGTTGATAAACTTACATTGACACATCATTATCACCCAAAGTCCATAGTTTATATTAGGATTGACTCTTGATGTTGTACATTCTATGGATTTGGACCAATGTGTAATGACATATAGTCACTATTATAATATCATATAGAATAGTTTCACTGCCCTAAAAACCCTCTGTGCTCTGCCTAGTCATCTCTTCTCACCTCCCACCGCTGGAAACCACTGATCTTTTTATTGTCTTCATGGTTTTACCTTTTCCAGAATGTCACATAGTTGGAATCATACAGATTGTAGACTTTATAGACTGGCTTCTTTCACTTAGTAATAGACATTTAAGTTTCCTCCATGTGTTTTCACGGCTTGATAGCTCATTTTCTTTTTAACACTGAATGGTATTCCATTGTCTAGATGTACCACAGTTTATTTATCCGTTCATCTACTGAAGGACATCTTGTTTTTTCCAAATTTTGGCAATTATAAATAAAGCTTCTATAAACATCCATGTGCAGGTTTTTGTGTGAACACACTTTTTCAACTCCTTTAGGTAAATACCAAGAAGTGCAATTGCTGGATTGTATCTTAGAGAATTTTAGTTTTGTAAGAGACTACCAAACTGTTTTCCAAAGTGGCTGTACCATTTTGCATTCCCACCAGCAATGAATGAGAGTTCCTCTTGCTCCACATCCTGTGGGCATTTTGTGTGGTCAGTAATTTGGGTTTTGGTCATTCTAATAGATATGCAGTGGTATCTTTATGTTGTTTTAATTTGCAATTCCATAATAACATGATGTTAAGCATCTTTTCATGTGCTTATTTTTCATCTGTACATCATCTTTGGTGAGGTATCTGTTAAGATCTTTTGCCCATTTTTTAATTGGGTTGTTCTTTTTCTTATTGCTGAGTTTTAAGAGAATTTTGTATAATTTTTGAATATACAAAATAAACATTCTTTGAATACAGTCCTTTATCAGATATATCTTTTGCAAATATTTTCTCTCAGCCTGTGGCTTGTCCTCTTATCCTCTTGACAGTGTCTTTTGCAGAGTAGATATTTTTAATTTTAATGAAGTTAACTTTAACAATGCCTTAAGAATTAGATTCAATAAATGTTAGATACATTAGTGAATGCTGTGCATTTTACAGCTGCATAATGCAGAAAGGAAAGTTGGAGGCATTTAGAATAATATACCTAATCTGGACTAATGCACTAATGAATGAACATTTTCAACCAAATTCTCTTTGGTAGAGCTAACAGCAAAGCAACATTTTAGAAAGAATTTTTGTTGTTAATGCTGTTGAGTTGATTCCAACTCCTAGTGACCCCATCTACAGCAGAGTGGAACCCTGCTGGTCTTTTTTGCACAATCCTTTCATCTTCCACCGCTATGTCAGACAATGCTCTGCTGCTATCATAGGGTTTTCATGGACAATTTTTTTGGAAGTGGGTGCCCAGGTCCTTCTTCCTAGTCTGTCTTAGTCTGGAAGCTCCGCTGAAACCTGTCCACCATAGGTGACCCTGCCAGTATTTGAAATGCCGGTGGCATAGCTTTCAGCGTCACAGCAACATGCAGCCACAACAGTATAACTACCAACAGTTGGGTGATGTGGTTCCTTGGCCAGGAAACGAACCTGGGCCATGGGGGTGAGAGCACCAAATCTTAACTACTAGACCACTAGGGCTGGCTTTTAGAGAAAATATTGATCTAAAATGAATAATTTGAGCCAGAATGTCCTATTTAATTTATATGTGTAAAGAGAACATAGCTGACTGTGGCTCTTGATTTCTCCCCAGGCAGAAGAAAATACTAATTTATCAGAAGATGACTGTAATTCTTTTGCAACCCACTTGCCATCGATATATATTGATAGCAAGAAATACATCAAGTTTTCTAAAAGAACAGAGAAAAGGATTTCGCCTGAAATTAGAGGTTTGAGCCTAGAACACAGAAAAACGTAAGTTAAATTCTGAGCATACTTAATTGAATTATTCTTTTGCAAGTTTAAGAAAACCAAAAATGTAGCTCATGTGTTCTCATAATGTACTGAGTATAAAGGATCATGCATATTTGTGGCCATCCTTTCTGGAGCTTAGTTTTATTTCCTAGATACCCATTCTTACACTTTTTCTCACTTCTCTCATAGCCATGTGGAAGCCTATAAACTATCATAGGCTTCCAGTTATAGGAGAGTAGTTGTCCATAGGTCTGTGTTTGTCCTTTATTTTTTGACAAATAAAACTGTAAGAGTGGACGCTGTGATGATTTGTGTATCCATTGTGAAATTCTTACTACCTTTGAGTTAATTAACAGATCCATCACCTCACATATTTACCTTTATTTATTTATTTAATTTTTGTTTTGGTGAGAACACTTAAGTTTGATTCTCTTAGCAAATTTCAATTATATAATACAGTATTATCAGCTATAGTCACCATGTTATACATTAGATCCTCAGACCTTATTCATCTCTAACTGAAAATTTATACTGTTTTACCAGCCTCTCCGTATCCCTAATTCCCCCACCCCCATACCCTGGCAACCATCATTCTCTGTTTCTGTGAGTTTGGCTTTTTTAGATTCCACATATAAGTGATATCCTATGGTATTTATCTTTTTCTGTCGTATTTCACTTTGCATAATGCCCTTAAGGTCCATCCATGTTGTTGCAGTGGCAGGATTTCCTTCTTTCTCATAGCTGGATAGTATTCCATTGTTGTATTTATACCACATCTTTAACCATTCATCTGTTGACAGATAGTTAGATTGTTTCTGTATCTTGGCTATTGTGAATAATGCTGCAATGAACATGGGAGTGCGGATATTTCTTAAGATCCTGTTTTTCACTTCTTTTGGGTATATACCCAGAAGTGGAATTGCTGGATCTTATGGTAGTTCTATTTTTAATTTTTTGAGGGCTCTTCATACTGTTTCCCATAGTGGCTGCACCAGTTTAGATTCCCACCTGCAGTGCATGAGGATTCCCTTTTCTTCACAGTCTTGCAAATACTTGTTCTCTCTTGTTTTCTTGATGACTGCTATTCTAACAGGTGGGAGGTGATGTCTCTTTGTGGTTTTGATTTGTATTTCCCTGATGATGAGTGATGTTGAACACCTTTTCATATACCTGTTGGCCATTTGTGTGTCTTTAGAAAAATGTCTGTTCAGGTCCTTTATCCATTTTTTAATTGGGTTGTTTGTTTATTTGCTATTGAGTTGTATGAGTTTCTTGTATATTTTAAATATTAACTAATAAGATATATGGTTTGCAAATATTCTCTTCCATTCCATAGGTTGTCTTTTTATTTTGCTGATAGTTTCCTTTGTTGTGCAGGTGCTTTTTAGTTTGATGTAGTCCCACTTGTTTATTTTTGCTTTTGTTGCCTTTGTTTTTGGTGTCAAATCCAAAAAATCTTTGCCAAGACTGCTGTCAAAGAGTGTTACTGCTTATGTTTTCTTCTAGAAATTTTATGGTTTCTTTCTCAAGATTGCTTTGGCTCTTTGATATCTTTTTTAGTTCTATACAAATTTTAGGATTGTTTATTCTATTTCAGTGAAAAATGGCCTTGGAATTTGGATAGGGATTGCATTGAATCCATAGATCACTTTGGGTGATATGGACATTTTAACAATATTAATTCTTCCAGTCTGTGAACATAGAATATCTTGCCATTTATTTATGTTTTCTTCAGTTTCTTTCATCAATGTTTCATAGTTTTAAGCATTCATATCTTTCACCTCCATGGTTAAATTTATTCCCAAGTATTTTATTCTTTTTGATGCTATTGTAAATGGGATTGTTTTCTTAATTTCTCTTTCTGAGAGTTCATTGTTAGTGTATAGAAATGCAACTGATTTTTGTATATTGATTTTTTTTTTGGTGAGGAAGATTGGCTCTGAGCTAACATCTGTTGCCAGTCTTTCTCTTTTTTTTCTCCCTAAAGCCCCAGTACATAGTTGCATATGCTAGTTGTAGGGCATTTTAGCTCTTCTATGTGGGATGACACCACAGCATGGCCTGATGAACAGTGTGTAGGTCTGTGCCCAGGACCCGAATTGGTGAACCCCAGGCCTCTGAAATGGAGATTGCTAACCCGACCACTCGGTTGCAGGGCCAGCCCCTGTATATTGATTTTTTTATCCTGAAAATTTACTGAATTAGTTTATTAGTTGTAACAGTTTTTTGGTGAAATCTCAAGGGTTTTCTATATTGAAGATTGTGCCATCTGGAAACAGACAATTTAAGTTCTTGCTTTCTGATGTAGGTGCATTTGTTTCTTTTTCTTGCCTAATTGCTCTGGCTAGGACTTCCAGTACTATGTTGAATAAAAATGGCAAGAGTGGGCACCCTTGTCCTGTTCCTTTCAGGTTTTCACCATTTAGTAGGATGTTAGTTCTGGGCTTGTCATATATGGCTTTTATTATGCTGAGATATATTCCTTCTATACCCACTTTGTTGAGAGTTTTTGTCATGAAAGGATGTTGAATTTTGTCAAATGCTTTTTCTGCATCTGTTGAGATGATTATATGATTTTTATCCTATCCTTTTTGTTAATGTCGTTATATTAGGGAAAACCTCAGTTCTTCTCCCTGTTTCTCCTTTCCTTGCACACTTCCACCATACTCACAACGCTTTTTTTTTTTGAGGAAGATTAGCCCTGAGCTAACATCTGCTGCCAATCTTCCTCTTTTTGCTGAGGAAGACTGGCTCTGAGCTAACATCCGTGCCCATCTTCGTCTACTTTGTATGTGGGACACCTGCCACAGCATGGCTTGCCAAGTGATACCATGTCCGCACCCGGGATCCAAACTGGCGAACCCCTGCTGAAGGGGAATGTGTGAACTTAACTGCTGTGCCACTGGGCTGGCCCCTCACAACACTTCTGATACCAGATGTGTGGTTTTTCCCCACACCAGGCAATTCAGTGACACCAACTTGATGTCCTACAGTTTAACTCAATGCTGACACTATCTACCTGGAGACAGTGTTAGGTCCTATGGGTTAAGGGCTCAGACCCACAAGACTGCCCTGCCATTTAATATGCCAATCACAGATAGTAGGTCTCCAGGTTACCCACAACTTCTGTCTGACTTGGCTACAAATCAGAGGTTCCCATGACCCCCTCCTCGGGTTCAGTTAATTGCTAGAGTGACCCACAGAACTCAGGGAAACACTTATATAACGTTTACCAGTTTATTAAAAGACATGATAGAGGATATAGATGAACAGTCAGATGAAGAGATACATAGGGAGAGGCCTGGGAGGGTCCCAAGCACAGGAACTTCTGTCCCCATGGAGTTGGGATGTGTCACCCTCTTAGTGGATAGATATGTTTACTAACCTAGAAGCTCTTCAGAGCGGGGAGAGCGGCTTGAAATGGAGTTAATAATTGATAATGCCTACAATGAAGATGCCTGTATAAAATTCCCAATAGTATGGGGTTTGGAGATATTCCAGGTTGGTGAATATATCCACAAGGGTATTCAGGAGGGTAATACACCATAACTTCAAACTCTGATTGTGCTTCAGTCAGAAGCACAGATAACAATCTACACTTGCAATTGGCTTCTGAAGTGGAGTGGGGGCAATCTGAACACTTATCCTGTAGGATTTGATGGTATCTCTGGGTAGATAGTGTCAGAATTGTGTTAAATTGTAGGATACCCAACTAGTGTTGCAGAGAATTACTTGGTGAGGTGAAAATCCCCACACATTTGGGGTCAGAAGTGTTGTGAGTGTAGTAGTAGTGTGAGAGTAAAGGAGAAACACAGGAAGAGGCCTGGGTTTTTTCTTCCATAGTGGTGTATTACATTTATTGATTTGCCTATGTTGAACCATCCTTGTATCCCAGAAATAAATCCCACTTGATTATGGTGTATGATCCTTTAATGTACAGTTGGATTTGGCTTGCTAGTATTTTGTTGAGAATTTTTGCATCTCTGTTCATCAGTGCTATTGGCCTGTAATTTTCCTTGTAGTGTCCTTGTTTGGCTTTGGTATCAGTAATGTTGGCCTCATAAAATGAGTTTGAAAGTGTTCCCTTCTCTTCAAGTTTTGGGAAGAGTTTGGGAAGCATTGGCATTAATTCTTTAAATCTTTAGTAGAATTCACCAGGGAAGCTATCTGGTCTTGGACTTTTCTTTGTTGGAAGGTTTTTGATTACTGATTCAGTCTCTTTAGTGATAGTTGATCAGTTCAGATTTTCTGTTTCTTCATGATTCAGTCTTGGTAGCTTGTATATTTGTAGGAATTTATTCATTTCTTCTAGGTTACCTAAGTTGTTGGCGTATGATTGTTCATAGTAGTTTCTTATGACCTTTACTATTTCTGTTATCAGTTGTAATATCTCTTCTTTCATTTCTGATTTTGTTTGAATCTCTTTTTTTCTTAGTCTAGCTAAAGAGGTCAATTTTGTTTATCATTTCCTAAAATGAGCTCTTAGTTTCATTGATCTTTTCTATTGTCTTTTTAGTCTCTATTTCATTTATTTCTTCTCCGATATTTGTTATTTCCTTCCTTTTACTAACTTTGGGCTTAGTTTTTTTTCTAGTTCCTTGAGGTGTAAAGTTAGGTTGTTTATTCAAGTTCTTTCTTTTTTTAATTTTTTTTTGAGGAAGATTAGCCCTGAGCTAACATCTGCTGCCAATCCTCCTCTTTTTGCTGAGGAAGACTGGCCCTGAGCTAACATCCATGCACATATTCCTCTAGTTTATATGTGGGACTCCTGCCACAGAATGACTCACCAAGCAGTGCCATGTCTGCACCCGGGATCTGAACCGGCGAATCCTGGGCCATCGAAGCGTAACGTGCAAACTTAACCACTGTGCCACCAGGCCGGCCCATCTTTCTGTTTTTTTATGTAGGCATTTGTCACTATAAATTTCCCTCTGAGAACTGCTTTTGCTGCATCAAATAAGTTTTGATATGTTGTGTTTTCATTTTCATTTGCCTCAAGATGTTTTTTATTTCCCTTTTGATTTCCTCTTTGACCCGTTTGTTGTTCAGGAGCATGTTTAATCTCCACACATTTGTGATTTTTCCAGTTTTCTTCTTTCATTGATTTCCAGTTTTATATCATTGTAGTCAAAAAAGATGCTTGATATGATTTCAATCTTTGTAAGTTTTTAAAGACTTATTTTGTGGCCTAAAAAATGATCTATCATGGAGAACTTTGAATGTGTGCTTGAGAAGAATGTGTATTCTGCTACTGTTGGATAGAATGTTCTGCATATGTCTGTCAGGTCCATCTGTTCTAATATGTAGTTTATGTCCAATGTTTCCTTTTGATATTCTGTCTGGATGATTTATCTATTGTCCAAAGTGGGATATTGAAGTGTCCCCTATTATTATTGTATTGCTGTCTATTTCTCCCTTCAGATCTGTTAATATTTGTTTTATATGTTTAGGTACTCCTATGTTGGGTGCATAAATATTTACAATTGCTATGTGTTCTTGATGAATTCACCCCGTTGTCATTATATAATGACCTTCTTTGTCTCTTGTTACAGTTTTTGGCTTAGAATGTATTAAAATTTATTTTGTCTAATATAGGCATACCTCAGAGATACTGTAGGTTCAGTTCGAGACCACTGCAATAAAGTGAATATCGCAATAAAACAAGTCACACGAATTTTTTGGTTTCTTAGTTCATATAAAAGTTATGTTTACATTATACTGTAGTTTATTATGTGTGAAAAAGCATTATGGCTAAAAAAATATATACATACCTTAATTAAAAAATACTAATCATCATCTGAGCTTTCAGAGGGTCATAATCTTTTTTGATGGTGGAGGATCTTGTTAAAAAATGCTTTATCTGCAAAGCTCAATAAAGCAAAGCACGATAAAACAAGGTATGCCTGTATAATTATAGCTTCCTCTGCCGTCTTTTGGTTTTCTTTCGCATGGAATATCTTTTTCCATCCCTTCACTTTCAGTCTATGTGTGTCCTTAAAGCTGAAGTGAGTCTCTTGGAGGCAGCATATACACAGGTTTTGTTTTTTTATCCATTCAGCCACTGTATGTATTTTGATAGGAGAATTTAGTCCATTTACATTTAAAGTAATTATTGATAGGTATGGACTTAGCTATTGCTGTTTTGTTAATTGTTTTCTGGCTGTTTTGTAGTTTGTTTGTTCCTTTTTTCCTCTCTTGCACTCTTCCTTTGCACTTTGTTAATTTTCTCTAGTGATGTACAGTCATGCACCACATAATGACATTTCAGTAATGATGGACTGCATATATGACAGTAGTCCCATAATTATCACATTCTTATCCCATAAAATATTTGAATCATCCCATAATTAAAAAACACACATTCTTTTTAAAAAAATGATAAAAGATAAAAAAATCGTTTGGGGGCTGGCCTGGTGGCTTAGTGGTTAAGTTTGATGCACTCTGCTTTAGCAGCCTGGGTGCACAGGTTTGGATCCCAGGCATGGACCTACACCACTCATCAAGCCATGCTGTAGCGGCGACACACATACAAAATAGAGGAAGTGTTGACTCAGATGTTAGCTCAGGGCCAATCTCCTTCAGCAAAAAACAAAAACAAAAACAAAACGTTTAGTGCAGTGGAAGCCATAATTATTCCAGAAATGTAAAGATCAGTTTCAGTAAAGATCAGTAGGGATAAATGGGGAGAGGATGGGGGATATAAAGTAGCAGTGGACTCTAGGTTGTGACTCTTTTGTGTGTCATGAAATCAACTTAGGAGGTTGCTGCTAGTATTGTTTTAAAAAAAGAAATTAGAATAGAATTGAAGGGGCTGGCCCAGTGGTGTAGCAGTTAAGTTTGCACTCCGTGCTTAGGTGGCCCAGGGTTTACTGGTTCAGATCCTGGGCATGGACCCACGCACTGCTTATCAAGCCGTGCTGTGACAGGTGTCCCACATATAAAATAGAGGAAGATGGGCATGGATGTTAGCTCAGGGCCAATCTTCCTCAGCAAAGGGAGGAGAATTGGTGGTAGATGTTAGCTTAGGGCTAATCTTCCTCAAAAAAAAAAAAAAAGGAATCAGGTCCACTGCATTAAAAAAAAAAGAAGAAGACATTAGAGTGCTTTTCACATAATAAAGATAAATATTGTTTTGAGAAAGTGTTTCAGCTTTCTCTCTCTCTCTGTATGTGTGTACTACATCTCAATAGAAAATATATTTATACTCTGGATCATAGTCAAAATGGTTAAAGTCATTGTCTTTACAAGTGGAGGACAGCAGAGGGGACAGCTTCAAGGGGCTAATAGCAAGATAATGGGGCTCTCAGGTTAGGAATTCTGGGGTTTGGATTTAAAGGGATAGAATATCAAAAGGGCAAGATACCTGCTAAGGAAGGAGAATGGGGTGCATAATAAAAATTTCCTTTATTTCACAATTTGGCTTAGGGCTAAGTTTATCTAAAGCTTTGTAGATTTAATGCAGTCACGTCCTATGTATCACCTAAGCAGCCCTTACATGGCAGGTTACTCTAAGAGGAAGGAACCACTTCTGCTAAACAGCTTTTAGTTTGCATACAAGGAAGAATAAGTTATTACTTCTAAAATATTGAGTTACAGCCCAGTTGATGTGAGTTCTGGGTAGAAACAAGCTGAGGGGTTTGTCATAGTGGTTCTCAAGTTTGTTTTCATGTTAGAATCACCTGAGTATCTTTGAAAAATTCCAAATAACAGCCCACTCCCCAAAATAATTAAATCACAATTTTGGGGGATGAGAGACAGATATCAGTATTTTTTCAAAGCTCTCAGCTGATTCCAATGTGCAGACAAGTTTCAGATCTAGCCTTTCTCAGAATCCTGCCTAGTCTACAGGGTCCCAGGAGCACAAAAATAATTTTAGAGTTGTCCTTGAAATTTAAGTCTACTCTGGATTACTTGAAGCAAAGTATGCAATTTCCAGGAGATCTTCTCTTTCAAATTTAATGGAGGCTTATTGTAGTCATCTCATTGTTATATTGTTTATGGGATGTTTGTGTTACAAAAGCTTTTGACAGTCCAATAGAAGAGGGAAAAGAAGCAGAAAGAAGAGAAAACCAAGTCATAAGAGAGCAGGATAATTATTAAAAAGAAGTTCAGCCTGTAGTGGCCAGACTTTAGTCTTGAAGTATCATTTCTTATTAAAAGGAACCATTTCTTTGGAGATATGTCTAATTGCAGGTCTGAGAAAGGAAGTGTATAGATGAGACTGGAGCATCTTGTCTTCCAGAAATAAGGAAACTAACAGAGACTGCTACCAGGGATGTACCAAAAGGACTTGGGAGCCTCCTTGAAGAGGCTGCCACCTCTTCCCACCACACATGAGAAAATTAGAGCATCAATAAGAAAAATAGTTGCAGGGAATTAAAATGAATTTAATGCATTTAAATCCACGTGTCCAAAATGACATAAAAATTATTTTATCATTGTTGGAGGTTATAAGCCAGCCAAGTCATTGTTATGAAAAGTGATAGATAAAGGAAAAGAATAAAAAATTATGCTGCCTTTCTATATGAACCGTACTACTGGGTAACCAAATAGTACATAAGAAAAAGTTTCTCTTTATAGAAATCTTCAAGCTGATGAGTGAAGAAGGAATGGTAGATTTAGAATATGACCATTTTGCAGTCCCTGATGATTTACTGAATCTAGTTACTATGTATAAGTAGCTGCTAATATCACAAATAGAGAGCCACTTGGACATTATATGCCTCCTGATGGGAAAACACCACCACCTATGTAGTGGTTTTGTCAAAAAAACCTTTTTTTGAGTGTTAATCTGATCAAGTCCTTAGAATCCTATAACCATGGTAATACAGTTAGCAAAGTCCAGACTGCAGAAAATCTATAGGACAGATGACCTGACAATAACGATAATGATAATAATAATAATAATAAAAGACATCGAAGGAGAACCTATAGATGAAAAGTGATCCAAAAGACATACCAACCAACTGTAATATGGGAACATTATTGAATCCTGATGCAAATGTTAAAAAATTTTGACATGTATGAGACAATTGGAAATTTGAACACTGATTGGATGTTTGATGATGTTAAGAAATTATTGTTAATTTTTTAGGTATCATAATGGTATTTTAAATATTTTTTTGAAAGAAAAAACTTGTAGAAATGCATATTAATAAATTTATTATGAAATAATATGATACTAGATTGTACTTCAAAACTGTAAGGGATGGGAGCAAGAATAGGGATATAGATAAAATAGGATTGTCCGTTATTGATGCTGGGTGGTGGGTACGTGGGGAGATCATCATGTTATTCTGTCCACTTTTGTATATGTTTGAAAATTTCCATGAATAAAAGATGAAAAAAAGAAGATGAGCAAGGAAAAGAACAAGGCAGGAATTATTCCAATTTTCTGTGCAATTTAGGTATGAAACATCAGTATGCCTATGTGGAGAAGAAAAATCCTCTGATTTTTCAAGAGAGAAAAAAGTCAGGAGAAAGAAAAGTTTACAAGCACAATTGCATACTGAAAGAACTGAGGTAAATAAAGATCTGGAAATATTTCTTTTTACTTTCAAGTGTTATCCTTAGCCCTCAAACATGCCATTACATTTTAGTCCAAGTCACAGTCTTAAATATTTCTTCTTCTTCATCTTCCCCCAGATCCTCCTCCTCACCCCTCCTCCTCCTTTTTTTAAATTAAAAAAAATTCAAAAAAATTAAATGAGGAACTCTTTCAGAAGAATATGATTTTTTTCCCCTTCTTTCTCCATTAGACCAGTATTTTTATTACAATGCTCTCTGTTAACATCTCTGCTGTTGTAACAATGACCCTAGGCATTCCTTGGCTTGTGGCAGCACAACTTCATCGTGGCCTCCATCTTGCTCTTCATATGGCCTTCTCCCTTGTGTCTATATCTCAAGTCTCCCCCTACTTTTCTCTTATAAGCACATCATTGTATATCTCATCTTAAGATTCTTAACTTGATTACATCTACAAAGACGTTTTCTCCAAATAAGGTCACATTCATAGGTTCCAGGGATTAGAGTATGGACATACTTTTTGTGGGGCCACCATTCAACCTACTCTATTCACTATGTGATATACTTAGGTATATGTTTCTTTTTATTTCTCTGTCTTGATATTTGTTGTGCTTCTTGAATCTGAGAATACATGCCTTTTTTCAATTCTGGAAAATTCTAATCCATTATCTTTTAGAATACTTCCTCTCTCTCAATCTCCTTATTGTATCTTTTTGGATGTTCTATCAGATGTATATTAGACCTTATTCTGTTCTTTGTGTTCCTTAACATTGCTTCATATTTTTCATCTATTTCTCTCTATTTTGTTCTGGGTAATTTCTTCCATCTACTTTGTATTTACTTTTTCTTTCTCCAGTAGAATCTAATCTGCATTTTAACTTGTCCATTGAGATTTTAATTTCAGTGCTTGTATTTTTTACTTCTAAAAGTTTTATCTGGTTCTTCTTAAAATTTGCTTTGTGTCTTGTTCTTTGCTCATGTTCCATAGTTGTTTTAAGGTTGATATCTGATAAACCTAATATATGACGTTTTGGGGGATCTAAATCTTCTGTTTGTTGTTTTGTCTGATTCTCACCCATATTAACCTGTGTCCTTGGATACTTCTACTTTTTGTTCATCCTTTCCTATATAGTTGATCTAAATATGTGGGAATCTCATGATGAGTCTGGATTTAGAGTGTCCTCCTCCAAGAGAATTTGAATTTGCCTCTGGTTCTAAACTCATGTGTGGGTAGAGCTATGGTTATAACTAATCAAGAAGAATACTCTTTCTTTTCTCTCTCCTTTTTTTTCATTCCAACCTGAAGCTGAGATGAAGACAGATTTTACTCTGCATACTCCTTCTGTTGAGGGATAAGCTTTTTTCTAGCCCACTGTTGCTGAGAATATTGCCTTTTGAAGATTTTGGCTCTATGTGGGATCTCAGTACCAATTCCTATCAACCATGTATGGATTGAGAGTTTTCTCTCTACATCCTGTGTGATCTTTAAAAGTCAAGACTCTAGGTCTAAAGTGACACTTTTCTGTCCACCTAGCTGCTTGCTACTTTTGAATCATTTATACATGCAATGTTAATTTCTTATCAGTGGTTATTATAATTTTATCAATCATAAGGATCGTTTAAAGCAAAATTACCTATATTATTTGAATAACTGTGTTGGTTCTCCACACATTATTTTGCTCATATAGTCAAAGCCTGTGTATGTAGCCTAGAGTCTGGTGGTCTTGTCTTCACTATACCATAGCTTTACCCTACTTTGTAAAATCCATTACTATAAATTGACACAATATTAGTTAGGAGATGATTCATTGCATGCTTAAGAAAAATGTGGCTTTTCAAAGAATATTGTATAGTTTATTTAAAATTTTAGTAAGTAAAACTGTAATTTAATTACAAAAAGCGATTTACATCAGAAGCATAGCTAAGTGAGGAGCCTAGGTGTGATTAATTATCTTTTAAGAGGTTTGTTGACCAAGAATGCTGGTTTACCAGTGTGATCTCAGGAACCAACACTTTTGCATTTGGCTCTAGATTGCCTCTTCCTCTGCGAAGCTGTCAAAGGAGAAGATGACTAGGAAAGAAAACTCTTTATGCAAGTTGCCGAATCAGTACAGCATTCACAAGACTTTATTGCCCCTTTGTACATCTTCCTCAATTATTCGGTATTTAAATCATTGTATTCTATTCCTTATATGTTGTATTCAGATTTGAGATTTTTCTTTCCAGAATCATCTGTCCCTTCCACATAAAGTATGCCAAATAGTTTGTGCAAACTAAGAGACAATGTTCTTAGTAAGGATGATGTAGTGCTAAGAGTTGAATTGAAAGACTTGGAGTTGAGTCCTGATTGACCTCACATGCTAGCTTAGTCTCTTGTACAATTCACTTTCTATCTCTGGGCTTCAGTTTCCACATCTGTATAAGAATCTTGTACTAGATGGACTCTTAAGATTTCTTCCAGCATTAGCATTCTATGATTTCAGTTATTTACATGCAATGGGATTAGATGAATCATATTTTCAAGATGTTTTTATTAACAGGTTATGGGATCTGGGATTCTTTGGCTATTTAAAGATATTATTGTTTGCCTTATTATAATAACTTTCTGTAAAATTTGTTGTGACTTGAATTAAGAACACGAAAAATTGGACCACAGCCAAAGGATGGTGGGTCATGGTCAATACTTACTGATGAGGGTAAATTCTACTCCATAGAGAAATATCTAAAAGAAACAAGGTGGGAATTCTCGAGTGAAGAATATGTAATTCACTATCACTTGGACAGTTCTTTCAGAAAGGTTCTTATGGGGTAAGAGACTAGAGAATCTCAGGCTATTGATAGGCTTGCTAATGTTTTGGCAAAATGACATCAATATTTTATGTATTTTGTGTATTTTTTTTTTGCTGCTTTCTAATGTGGCTGTCTCTTTGACAGGAAAAAGGAAAGGCTTTCTAACCTCTACGATACATTATATGATGAAGTACCTCATGGACACTTACACTCACAACAATTAAGTGGTAATAATAGGTTCTAGAATTTCTCAAATTTCCTGATTGTGTGCTTTGTAGGAATTGTTTCAGTAATTAGTGTTTCTTTCTTTACTCCTAATGGCTTATGATATCAGCTAATGTTATATGACATGGCAAATACTGCAATCTGTGAGCAAGCAAGTAGATATTTAATTCATAAATATCTTTAGTTGAATTGGTAAGATAGGCAAAATATAACATATGTGCTTATTCTATTTCAAACTTTTTTTGGAAAAAAGTCTGGATCTTACATAATATGAATAAATTAGTAAGCACTAGAGTCACTGATTTTACTGGAATTTAGTCCTTGGTACCTTCATATTAAGGCTCAAAGTATCCCTCATTTTTTTTGGTACTGAGCTCTCCATATCTTGGGCTTCTCATTTATATTTCTGGAGTCAGTTTTTATATTTTTCCTCTCTACCTTAACCGTGGTCTTCATATTAGGTGTTTTTTTCCCACTTTTATTGACATGTAATTGACATACAACATGGTACAAGTTTAAGGTATACAGTATAATGTCTTGACTTACATATAATGTGAAATGACTACCACGATAATTTTAATTAACATCCATCATATCATATGGATAAAATAAAAAAGAAAAAAAACTTCTTCCTTGTGATGAAAAGTTAGGCTCTACTCTCTTAGCAACTTTCAAATGTACCACACAGCAATGTTAACTATAGTCATCCTGTCGTACATTACGTCCCTAGTACTTATTTATCTTATAACTAGAAGTTTGTACCTTTTTACCACCTTCATTCGGTTCACCCACTCCCCACCCCATGCCTCTAGTAGCCACAAATCTCCTCTATTTTGCACATAGGATGCCGCCACAGCATGGCTTGATGAGCGATGTTTAGGTCCACGCCTGGGATCCAAACCAGCAAACCCAGGGCTGCCTATGCAGAGCGCATGAATTTAACAACTACACCACCGGGCTGGCCCTTCCATTTGTGTTTCGATCAGATGCCTGTCCTATTTCCTTTGTGTCTATTTCAAACCTTCATGACTCTCCTCAAATTCTCAATCCTATCACCTAGTCCTTTAACTCTTAAGAGATGACTTTGCTTTTTCATAGAGAGTTAATAAAGTCTGTTTGGCAGAATCTTCCTTAACTTCTTGCCATTCCTACCTATAAACTTTTCTATAAATAATGTCCACATCTTTCCCTGTTGTCTCATTGGAAAAGATTCCCTTTCATGAGACTAATCCCTTCAGTTCTCTTTTTCTTTGATTTGATTTTCTTCTGCCTCCTTAGGGACTTTACTTTGTCAATTTTATACTCTAGGTTTTCAGAGAAGCTTTTCGAAAGAGTTTTTTTCATTAATTACTCTACTTACTTCTCATTTCACTGAAATCTGGTTTCTACATCCAATACTCTACTAAAACTCCTATTATTAAAGTCACTATTATCCATTTTTTAGTCTTTCTATGGTATTTAGTACTGTCATCTATCGCCTCTTTTTCTGAAAAAAAAAAAAAAAAGTGTAGCATCCACTGAACTAAACCCAATTCAGTTCAACAGACGTTTTTTGAGAATCTATTCTGAATTAGACATCAGAACTAGAAGAATGAAACGTCTTGCCCCTTCGAAGCTGACAGTTTAGTGAGGATATTGACACATGCAAGCAATCACAATACCAAGAGCTTTGACTGAGATACATACTAAGTGATATGAGAGCACAGAAGAAGGATATAACATTCCCAGGGAAAGCTGTGGAAACCTTTGCCTATATGAGGCTTGCATGACTTTTCTGATTTTCTGAGAGTTCTTTAGGAAATTTGTAGACTCAAAGGTCATTGGCTCCAGACATACCTAAAGAAATCACAAGATTGATTTTAAGGTAAGGATAATTATTCCTTTTAATTAATTGTTTTGTTATGTGTATTCAGCGCTTCAGAAAGCCTGTAAAATTTTTAGTAAAATTAGAAGTGGAAAGATTTATGTGAATGATCTGCCAATGATCCATTGCATCTTGAAGATTTCTATAAGTGATTCAGAAATGCGAAAGGCACTAAAGACTGTTGATATTGATGGTAAGTTTTATGTTTTCATTATTAGTTTAAGGGTCTACAAACTTGGATATAAAAATTATATGTTGGTCAGATTAATTACAAATGATAGGAGAGCTAAGCTTTAAAACATGTTATAAAAACATCGTTTTTTGCTTATTAACAATAAAGTACTAAAAGATTGGGCCTCAGGAACACATAATTGGATTGATTAATAAGTAGATTGGATTATGACATACTTTTATAAACATTTGGTATTTTTAGGCTTTTAATTTTTTGCTAATTGCATGAGTGTGAAATGGTATGGGATAGGGAAAATTTTTTAAATAAGGCAAAAAAAGTTTGAGTTTTAAAGAAGAGATTAATATATTTGGTATGTTTGACTATAGTAAAAGAACTTTTATTTATCAAAAGGCACCTTAAAGTAGAAAGACAAGTTACAAACTTGAAGATATTTACAATTCACATAACTGACAAAGGATTAGTTTTCAGAATGTGGAAAGAATTCATACAAGTCAGTGACAAACAATGAAATAGAAAAATAGGCAAGACACGTGAACAAGTATTTCACATGAAAGATAACACATATAGCCAATTATCATTTAGGAATTTTTTTTTCTTTTTTGAGGAAGATGAGCCCTGAGCTAACTATTGCCAATCCTCCTCTTTTTGCTGAGGAAGACTGGCCCTGAGCTAACAACCATGCCCATCTTCCTCTATTTTTTACGTGGGACACCTACCACAGCATGGCTTTTGCCAAGTGGTGTCATGTCTGCACCCAGGATCTGAACCAGCGAACCCCGGGCCGCCGAGGACCGGAATGTGTGAACTTAACCACTGTGCCACTGGCTGGCCCCTAGGAATATTTTTAATATCACCAGTATGCAAGGAAATGGAAATCAAAATCCTAATAATTGCATTTTTAAATACCTAGAAAAATAATTATTCTTTTGCAGTTAGTGTTTGAGACTTTATCAAAGTAGATAACAGAGAACTCGTTACATTTACAGACCATTCCAAGCTTGTTGAGGAAGGGAGACAAGTTTAGAATAAAAATGAGATAAGTTGAAGGAGTGGTCAGAAAATAAATCAAACAAATTTGGTATACCTAAATAGAAAGTAGTACTCTAGGGGCCGGCCTGGTGGGGCAGCGGTTAAGTTCACACGTTCCATTTCGGTGGCCCGGGGTTCGCTGGTTTGGATCCTGGGTGCGGACATGTCACCACCGTTTGGCAAGCCATGCTGTGGCAGGCATCTCACATATAAAGTAGAGGAAGATGGGCACGGATGTTAGCTCAGGGCTGGTCTTCCTCAGCAAAAAGAGGAGGATTGGCAGCAGATGTTAGCTCAGGGCTAATCTTCCTCAAATAAACAAATAAATAAATAAAATAAAGTAGTACTCTAAGGTTGAAAACATCAAGCTGCTCAATTATAAGATGTATATTTATTACTATAAAAAAATTTGTAGATGAAAAATCCTAGAAGTCAAAATGGGCCACCAACAGAATATTACTAAACAATCTAGTAGTAACCGGCAAGTTGCAATAGTGTGCATGTATCCATCTGTCCATCTATCCAAGTCACCTCAACATTTTTTGAGCATCTACTATATGACAGCTTTCTGAGGGTATAAAAATAAATTAATACATATAAACGTAACTTTTAGAAAGCTTAAGAAACAATTATTTTTTCTGACATACTTAGCGAATTATATGTTAATTTTCTTGACATGATTGTTTTGAGATTTATAGTAAAATAATTCTCCGAAGTGGAAATAATTTTATTCTCTGAAAGCACAGGAGAATATAAAGGGTAAAGTAAAAATCATGTGTAATCTCCTTGCCCACAACCAAACTTTGGTATTTTTTTAAATTTATTTTTCTAGGATTTTTCCAAGCATACACTTATAAGTGTGTGTATGAGTGTGTATTTGTGTGTGTGTATAACTGTGGTATATACACATGCATGAACACATGATTTTAAAAAACATATATGGACTCATATGCTTACAGTTTTGTTACCTTTTTCTGTTTATATGATATGCTAGTCAACTTTCTGTGTAAATGTAGATCCGCATTGCCTTTTTAAATGGCTTGAGTCATTCTATGGAACAGATTAAAAAACAAATTAAAAAAAAAACCAAATTGTTTAAAAAAACTAACCTGTATAGCAAATAGTCTATATAAGTATATATTACTTCTAATATTTTTGCTGTTAGAAACAGTGTTCTCTCTCTCTTTCTGTCTCTTATCAGACAAAGATAGATAACTAAAATTGAAATTGCTAGGTCAAAGAGTGTGAACTTTTTAAGACTTTTAGATAATATTGTTATTAGAAATTCAAAGCAACAAAATTTAAAACTTTAGATATTCAGGCCTTTACATACTGTCTCTTGCAGTCACCTGGATTTACTGTTGGGGAAACAGAGGGATAGAAAGGTGAAGCGTCTACTCCAAAGCCATACAATCAATTTTAGATGACATATGTTAATTTAAACCTTTGTTATTAATTTTTACATTGAAAATAATGTAACCCTACACTGAAATCTTGGTAATAAATGTAAATACAAGAAAAAGTTTAGTAACTGAGCATGGAACGTGTCCTAAAGAAAAGGTTTGTTTTTGTTGTAATATTTTTAGCTTACAGAGGTTTATAAATTACAAAATGAAAATTATCTCGTCACTCCAGTCTTTCTCTACACTCCCTAGTGGTAAACATTGTTAATAATTTGTTGGGTATCCTTCCTGTCCTTTTGTTTTATATATGTATATATAAGTTTTAATTGGTGTCCTACTGATTCATGGTGAAGTTGCCTCTAAAGTTCTGCTATTAAAAACAATGCTACAAAGAACGTCCTTTTAAATCAGTTCTTGCACATTTGTGTAAATATTTCAATAGGATAGATTCCTAGAAATGAAAAATCCGGGTCAAAGGGTATGCACATCCCCATAGGAAAGTGATTTATCTCAAATTACATTATTTTTTCCAGTTTTATTGAGATATAATTGACAAATAAAAATTGTTTACATTTGAGGTCTACAATGTGATGATTTGTTCTACATTTACATTGTGAAATGATTACCACAGTCAAACTAAATAACACATCCATCACCTCACGTAGTTATCATTTTTTTTGTGTGTGGTGAGAACAGTTAAGATCTATTCTTTTGGCAAATCTCAAGTACACAATAGAGTGTTATTAACTGTAGTCACCAGGCTGCACACTAGATTCCCGGAACTTATTCATCTTATATGTAAAGTTTGTATCCTTTGACCAACATCTCCCCACTTCCACCACTCCCTACCAGTCCCTGTCAACCACCATTTTACTCTCTTCTTCTATCAGTTCAACATTTTTAGATTCTACATATAAGTGAGATCATACAGTATTTGTCTTTCTGTGTCTGGCTTATTTCCCTTAGCATAATGTCCTCTAAATTCATGCATGTTGTTGCAAATGTCAGAATTTTCTTTTTTGTGGCTGAATAATATTCCTGTGTGTGTGTGTGTGAGTGTGTGTGTGTATCACATTTTTTAAATCCATTCATCCATCAGCGGGAACTTAGGTTGTTTCTATATCTTGGCTATTGTGAATACTGCTGCAATGAACGTTGTGTAGATATCTCTTTGAGATTGTGCTTTTATTTCCTTTGGATATATACCCAGAAGTGGGGTTGCTGGATGATATGGTAGTTCTCTTTTTAAATTTTTTTGAAGAACCTCCATAATGGCTTGAGATTCATCAGTGCTTTTATGTGTATCAATAGTTCATTCCTTTTTATTGCTGAATAGTATTCTATTATATGGATATATCATAATTTGTTTATCTATTCACTAATTGATGGACGTTTGGGTTGTTTCCATTTTTGGGGTATTACAAACAAAGCTGGTATAAACATTCATTTTTGTGTCTTTGTGTGGTCTTATGCTTTCATTTATCTTGGGTAAATACCTAGTGGTAGAATGATTGGGTCATATATTAGGCATTGCCACAAGCAATATATGAGAGTTTCAGTTGCTCCTCATCCTTCCCAATCCTGAAATTGGTCAGCCTTCAAAAACTGTAGCCATTCTAGTAGATGTATGATATTATCTCATTGTGGTTTTAATTTGCATTTCCTGAATGATCAAATGATGTTGAAGACATTTTTATGTGCTTATTTGTTATCTGTATATCTCCTGCCCATTAAAAAAATTGTTTGTGTTCTTATTCTTGCATTTTGAATGTTCTTTATATATCCTGAATGCAAGTCCTTTATTGGATATGTGGTTAGCAGGTGCTTGTTTTTTTATTCTTTTGAGAATGTCTTTTGAAAAGCATAAGTTTATACTTTTGATGAAGTCTAGTCTATAATTTTTTGCTTTTATGGATTGTGCTTTTGATGTTTTATCTAAAAGATTTTTTCCTAACCCAAGGTTGCATAGAAGTCAGAAAACAAGTCAAAGTAGTTGATTGAAATTTGTATAGATGTTTCATTGTTTTTGAAGGAAAGGAGAAACCACTCTCAGGTTGTTACACTGAAAAAGATGTTTTGAGGCAAACAATTTGACAAACTTTCTCAATACTGGAGAAAGTGCTTTTGTGGTTTGTAAATGAGAACAACCAAGTTTTGTCAGTTTTTCTGCAGGTAGAAGCCACAGGCCACTGGAAGCACTGAAGTGTTCTTTTATAGGTTACTTTGGTCAGATGACGTTAAATTTGAATGTGGATTTGTAATCATTTTCTTCTAGAGATAGATAACATTGATGTAAACTCTTCCAAGTTGGCCTCATTTACTTAATGACAAGAGGGAAATGACTTCATAGTTATTTAACTCGAAGATTCTTGAAAAATTCAGATGTTCTTTGACACAGATCTATGCTTATCTAGAAAATGAGATTTAAGAGCCCTGATTCTCTGCTTTGGCACACTTTGTAAGTCTGGATTTTCAGCTCTAGTACCTATCAGAGAGGACCTGTGCAATATCATGCAAAAAACCACTCCATAATTTCAACTTCTCATTCAAGCCAGACAAAAACTTCTTACTGAAATTTTCATGTGTACAATTTAGGTTTCTTTTTTTTCTTTTAAGAAATAGCCATTACTTTTTGCTTGAAAAAATGAGATGATATTTTTGGGTAAGAATTGGTTTAATATTGTGCAATATTTTGTGCATTTGTTTCAATGCATTGTGTGTGTGTGTGTATGTGATGAGAGAGAAGGAGAGAGAGGAGAGTTGTAGTGGTATGAGGCAGAGCTTTCATTAGAGTCTCAACTGGATTCATAATATCCCCCAAAACCACTGGTATAGAGGGCTTTTCTAGAACATGGTGAAATCAGCCTTATCTTTTTAAGGTAAAACCATTATGTATGTAAAATTGGCAAGTTGAATGTATTTTCTACACCTAATTACAAATATAAAAATGAGAGCCTTGAGCAAAGAGCACTGTAGTATCTCCAATTCTAGTCTATATCATCATTATTGCTGCAACACCATTTACTATATAATTATAATATGTAAATATTTTTCTGATAAGTTTTCTTTTTTACATTCTATATTGAATTCTAATTTTGACTGCTTTTGTGTGTAGACTATGGTATTCTAATATCAGTTAATTCTATTCACATCTTTAGTTTGCATTTTTGTCTTATGTTCTCAGCGAGTTTACTCTAAGTTTGCTGATGGAGTTTTTTTCCTTTTGTTTCTGAACCATTCTCATAGTTAATGGAATGCTGGATTTTTCAGATTTCCTTAAGGCTGTGAATGATGTTTGTTATTTGGTCTCTCAGGATCCAGGTAAAAAGATGATTTTTCAAAATTATAGAAGAGAATTATTTTGATAGTAACTGATTTTAGAGTGAGTAGTTTTATGAATTTATGTTTTTTTCAGAATCTGTTAACTCCTTGTTTCCCCAGTAGTCTAGGTTGAGAAAAATTAGACATGAGTTATTTCATAAAAGGCATTACAAAACTTGGATCACTGCCATGGCATCCTAATTTTCTATCTCCAGTCTCCACTTTTTTTCTGCACATGGCTGCTAGACTAATTTTCTTAAAAGACAATTTTTGTCATGTCATTTTCCTACTCAAAAATTTAGATGCTCTTCCTATTATCAAATGAATCTAGTCCAAACTCTATGTTTGATGTCCTTACCTCTTCATAATTTTGCTTGCTTTTCCCAGGCAAGAACCTCATGCTCCCGTAAATCTCCATACATGCCAATTTTATTCTTGCTTCCTTGCCTCTGTTCATGTGCTTTTTAATTCTTTGTTGGTCACACGTCTGTTTTCTTTTCTACCCTTAACAGTACTTTCTTCACTGTCTGGAATCTACTTGTATTTCTCCCTAAAAATTTCAGATGCTGATGGGTCTCCTAATAACTTTTAGTTTACACTACATATAAATTGTAAAGAAAGTTGTTGGAAGGACTATTCATGTTAATAACAGAAATAGTGTTTCCAAAAGTCTGAGATTTCTAGTGTTCATGACCTAATTTTAGCAGTTCTTTGGTTTTTCCATTAGGCAAGATCAAGTTCCTATGATCAGTCCTTGGGATTATGTATTTTTATAATCAACCAGACTGTATTTACTTAGAATGTGAATGTGATAGTCTTCATATTGCTAGAGCAAGCAAGAGGCAAGAAAAACTCTTTAATGTTTATTTATTCATTGATGTAATAAGTGCTATTAAATGCCTACCATGTGCAGCAATGAAGAATATAGATATGACGCTTGGCTTGCTTTTTCTTTTTTAATTCCTTACTTCCTACTTGGCATTTTGATTAACTTCTATGACATTGGTTTTTTCGTAGTTCTCCTTTGTCTACTTGGTTTTTGACTTACAGCTTTTTCCTGACTATAGATTTGTATGTGGGTTTGGACTGCTAAGTACTGCCTGCTTATTGAACCACAGTTGAGGATAGCTTATTTACTCCCATATATTCTTTGGTTTTTCAAGTCCTGGTTTCCTATTTAGACCTTATTTTCTGTTTATGACCATATGGCCTGAGACCAATCAAGAAGTCCTAAGTTTCGTTTTTTCCTTTTAAAACAACACATATAATCCTTGAATATGTTATTTTTATAAAATATCCAAGCAATATGTGTATAAAAATGTGAAAGACCCTCTTTAATCCATCCTAAATTGTTACAGTTTAGTGTTGACCTTAGAACCATTTTTATATGCAATTATGAATATCTATATCTATCCATATATGTTTTGTAAGACAAAATGAGTTATCAACTTGTAGGCAGAGGAGAAGAAGAGGACCTAGATCTCATTGAGGCTAGTAAAAAGACCAAAGTGTGCAGTCGGGAATCAAGAAACCTTCAGAAAATAAAAGGGAAAAATAGAAATTTCTTTAAGGGAGAGAGATTGTGCTATATGCATTATTGTCTAGCATGTTTTTTGTTTGTTTGTTTGTTTTTACTGAATAATATGTCTTGGAAAGTTTTCCGTGTCAGTAGATATAGATCAGCTTTTTTCTTTTTAACAGCTACATAGTATCTGAAAAATGTAGATATAGTATAGTTTATTTAACTTTTCCCTTATTATTGAATTTTTAATTGGTCCTAATTATCTTACTATTGTAAACAATTCCACAATGAATATAACTTTCCCCTTTTTTTTTTTTGAGGAAGATTAGCCGTGAGCTAACATCTGCCACCAATCCTCCTCTTTTTTGCTGAGGAAGATTGGCCCTGAGCTAACATCTGTGCCCATCTTCCTCTGTTTTATATGTGGGACTCCTGCCACAGTGTGGCTTGATAAGCGATGTGTAGGTCCATGCCTGGGATTTGAACCTGTGAACCCAAGCTGCTGAAGTGGAGCACGCGAACTTAACCGCTACGCCACCGAGCCGGCCCCTAACTTTTCTTATATTTTTATATTTTATATGTATATTTATTTTTATATTATATATTATATTTATATGTTTGTATGGATCTTTATGATGCCTTTGTAAGGCAAAATGAGTTATCGATTATCAGGCAGAGGAGAATCCGTAGGACTCTGTGTGTGCATTAGGGCATTCCTTGAACATCCAGATAGATAGTTTTTAACTCAGCCTTAGTCTTCACTTCCTGCTTGTGTATATCCTCAAAATAAGCCAGAGGTGAGAGTTTAGGACCTTCCCAAGCATGTATACGGCCCTACCCGTGTGTGTGGCCATCTAGATTCCCAGGCATGTGTTGAGGCTTTTCAAAGTCCTTATGGATGTCTCATTTTCCAGGTTTTCCTTTTAAGCTTGTTTGTTAGCCTATTGTTTGCTCCAACCATTATCTACCACTTCAAGCAGTTGTCTGTTAAACAATTGCCTCTGATTGGTTTTGGTGAATGCTCCCAGGGAAAAGGCTGTTTGCACTGGGCAAGCTTTGAGTTAGGTCAAATAAAGATAGCTTTGCAAGTAGGATCTTCCTGGGAACCATCAGACAGGTCTATTGATGACAGTTCTCAGGGAATGGGGCTTTGAAGAAGTTGCAGCCTCATTCTTCTCCAATGGCTGTCAGGCTGCTAGTTTTCCTCATGATTGTAGGCTCTTGTTTTCAAGGTTCCTGGGAGGTTGGGATGGGGAGATGGGAATATAGCAAGTTAACATGCCACAAGCTCACTGTTCTTAGTGAGATTCAGTCATTTTTTTCTTGGAAAAAAACACTCCTTGGATTGCTATAAGCCTTTGTTTGATTTCCAGAGTTTTGAAAAAAGTTGATTCTGACAACTTTTTCCAGTGTTCTCATTGCTTTTTATGGAGGAAAGGGTTCTCAGAGGTCCTTCCTCTGCCACCTTTGCTTACTTGATCAATAACTGCTGATTGAATGAATAAATCGTTCTCAATTCTTCCTCTTTGACTGCTTATCTAAGGACTTATGGATAATTATGCTTATTGTATCCTAATTCCAAGAAAATCTAGTCTGACTATAAAGTGATTTGCTTTCTGGAATTGTGTTTCCTTATCAAGATAAATTAAGGGATGCAGTGGTCTGAGGAGCATTCATATTTAGCATTTGGACACAGGTATCAATGTTTAAATTTTAAGAAAGACATTTTTTGGGGAAAAATTCTCTTCATTAATATGAGTATGTTCTTCTAACCATGTTCTTTCCAATTCATTTTCGATACTAAGGACTATTAGCTTAAGAATATGAAGTTTCTATGGAGAAATAGAAGACCTTTTAATAATAGTTAAACCATTGCCAAACTCTTTGTAGTATGATAAAAAAAATCTGAAGATAAATTTTGTATCTACACCATTCTTTTCTCTTTTATGCTATCTTTTCTAAATTACATTTTTAAGCACTTAATGACTCCCCCCAAATTTTGGATTAAGCTGCCTTGCTATTATAGATTATACCACTGGTAAGAAATTGTTTTAGTTAAAAGTTTTAGCTAAGAGGTGAGTATAGTATAATGATTAATAGCAAGCATTCTGAAGTAAGACTACTAGATTAGAATTCTGGCTTTTCCATTTACTAGCCGTGTAATCAAAAGGGACTTTCTAAGCCTTAGTTTTCTTATCTGTAATGTAGGAATAATGATAATTTCTATATTATGGGCCTATATTGATAATCGAATGAGGTAACCCATAGATTTTAGCACAGTGCCTGGCACACAAATAGCGTTCAATAAATAAAAGCTATTATTTATAATATTATATTAGTAGTAATAATAACAAAAATTACATTTTATACTGGGAATGTGGCCAGAATTGGGCAAATGCCTGCTTGCAGGTAAATTTTTAGAAAACCCTATGCCTATGTAAAGTTATTTTCTCCTGGTAGGTTATTAACGTACAATCAGCTTCAAGAAAGGCTACTGATTCTCATGATACATTAATTTCTTTATTGTTTTTTTTGCAGCATTCAAGGGTGCTTTGAAGATTTTCTGTGGGATAAAAGGTGGTCGAGTTGCGGTTGATGAAGTGGCTGCTGTTTTGGATAGCATGGATATCCCTGTAACCCCTGAAACTTTGCAGGAAGTGATGAAACATGCTAATATTGACAGTGAGTTGTTTGAATTGATATGTCTGTATATCTTTCTTGGATATTAATTTTCTGATTCATCCTTTACTTCTTCTTTTCCTTCTTGTTTCTTGCCTTTTGCTATCAACACTGCTTACTGATGTCTGTGGTAAGAGATAGTGTGGAAAAATTAAAAAGAAATTTCTAAAATTGTTATATTTTGGTATGTTTGGTAAAAGTCTAAGAGAAAAATGGATTTTTTTTTCTCTGCAACCTTATCTCTCTTTTCCAATAATCATTTCTTATCTTTGTGGAGAGGTAGTTTCTGTAGTGTCAAGAGCATTGGCTCCACAAGTTAGGAGACCTAAGTTTCTTGAATTTTCAACTTTATTATGTAGCTTTGATTACAGAATCTTTCTATGCTATTCAGTTACTCTCTGCAAAATGTAGATTTCTTTAAACATTATAAATATATTTAGCCAAGTGTTTTGCACTACATGTTTACATGTGACTAGGGGATGTCCTATAATAACGGATTGATCAGTAGTTGATTAATTGATTTATCCATTCACTTAATGAGTCAGATAGTCAATAATTTAATATTTATTGTGCCTGGAATTATGTTGAGTGATATACAGATGACTAAAACACACTTCTTGTTCTGAAGGAGCTCACATTCTAGTGTGAAAAGAGTCAAGTAAACTGAACGTTGTGCAGCAAGTACTGTTATAGGGTGTATATAGGCTGCTAGTGCATACTGGAAGCACCAGGGAAAGAGATTCAGAGGAGATGATGTCTGAGCTAAATCTTGAAGAATCAGTAAGGGTTAGTTTGTTGAAGGTGATAGTGAAGGGTAAAAATGATATTTTGGACTGAGGGAATAGTTAGTATAAATACGCAGGAAAATAATTAGACATGGCATCTTTTCCAGTGGACTTCCACTGTTTTTTGTCATTTCTTAGTGATGGCTTTGTAGTGGGCCTTTGGTTGCTGAAATGTGGCCTGGAGATAGAACCAGGCATCATGGAGTTCTACCATGTAGTCATTTATGGTGGGCTCTGGGGTGGTAGACAGGAGTGGAGAGATGTACTGGGGCATGAAGGTGTCTATAAAATAGAAATCTTTAAGGACTAATCTCAAGACATATTATTAAATAGCCTTTAGGGCATGCTCTACCAGAAGGAACAAAAATCATATATGAAACTACTGCAGCACCTTGCTTTTTGGCTTATGGAATTCTGGTTTGGGCTTCCAGGTCTCCTGATTTATTTGGGGAGATAGATTGGACAAATGATGCTAATTTCATAGAATTGTAGGAATTAAATATAAACATTTGTCACTGTGTTTGGCACCTAGAACAGGGTCAAGTAATGTGAAACAGAAACCTGAGAACCATCCTTGACAACTCTGTTGTCCTCATGCAATCATTATGAAGTACTGTTGTTTTAAACTCCTAGGTATCTCTTAAATCTTTCTATTTTCCAGCATTACTACCTTAGTCCAAGTTACCATAACCTTTCCTTAGGACCATTTGGAGCTCATCCTAACAGGTCTACCCGTATCCAGTCTTATCCCTCTTCCCTCTTTATGCTGTAGCGAGAACAATCTTTTCCCAACACATCTGATCATGTTACCCTCCTTGCATAAAATCTAATAATACCTCTTGGGATAAAGAACCCTTTAATGTTGTGTACAAGGCAGTGTCTGGCATTTACCCAGATCTTCAGCTTTATCTCAGATCACATTTCCCCCTCACTCTCTGAGAGTTTTCAACTATATACCATGCCCTCTCCTGCCATAGCCATTGCACATGTTCTTTTTTTTTCCTGGAGCATTCCTTTTCTCTCAGTTAATTCCTACGTATACTTTAAATCTAAACTCAACTATTCTTTAGAGATATTTCCCTGACCTCTCTGACTGTGTCAAATTCTCATATTATACACTCTTACAGCATTAATCACAGTTGCAATTTGTATTTTTAATTGTTTTATTAAAATCTGTATCTTATATAAGACTAAGCACCAGGAGAGAAGATATCATATCTACTTTTGCTCAATATTGTATCCTGAGTACCTATCACAGTGGTTTTGGCATATATTAACTGCTCAACAAATATCTATTGAATGAATTAGTAATTCTTACTCCTTATTACACCTCCTCTGATCAGAGAGAACAAGATTTCTTCATTTTGTCATATTAATAGGCTGGCTGCAACTTAAGGCAAAATTTCTCATAAAGAATACCCTTGTCTTTTGACTAGAAAAATCATTTCTGGAGAGAGTATTGATTTATGTTCATTTAGCATATGGTCTGGAGTCTGAGCTATTTTATTTAAATAGTAGAGGAAAGGACAGCTCCAGAATGCCAACAGATATGGGTCACCCAGGTTGGTTTTTCGGAGTAGAGATGACAGGTGGAGAATATGTTCATCTTTATAAGTGTTCATAATGAAGAGGGAAGAATTATGCTATTGGAATTTTCAGGAAAGTTCAATAAGCGTTTGTTTCATTAAGATATGGCAAGAGGAATATGAAAAAGCACTTGATGGCATTTCTGGGAGTGTCAGGTATTTTGGTTTCTGAAATAGGATATTGGTGCAGTAGTTTTTCTCTCATGGAGATTAGTGATCTGGAAGTTGAACTGGATGAAAAGTAGTGACTAGTACAATTTTTACTAGAGGAGGCTTTTGATATTGTGGGCCTATCTGAAGATTATAGAAATGTAGTGTTAATGGTTACTTAACACCTTCAAAGTAATGTTGCCTTGAATATGACCTTGATGATTAGAATAATTTTTTTTCTCACACTAGGTGGTTGTATTTTCCAGGTTGAATTTCCTCCAGAATTACATATATAAGAGTAGGAGGCTGTTTTGAGCTTCCCTTATGAAATAGATGGTACCTATAACCATATTGGTTGCATCAGTCTCAACCAGGAATCATTAGTTAAGGTTTTGATAAGCCAGATAGGGGCCAAAATAGTAATTTTAGATTCTGGAATGGTTCTCTGGCTACCTGGGACTATTTAAATAGGTAATATTTGTTTGAGAATTTTATGATAGATATCTATTATTGCCTAGAAGCAAGGAATAAATTTTGAGCAAGAGCTAGTGAATCTGTATAAGTGGTTGGCTACTGCATTCTCATTGGTTGATGTTGGACCTCTGTCCAGAGAAGGGAGTTTTCTAAGTGGAGAACAGATAAAAACAATATGGCCTTCTCCTCTGGATTAATGTATGTATGGTCTATAGATTACTTTTCAGTGATTAAGTCCAAGGATGTGAGGGCTGAGGGCTTGGGTTATTTTAGAACTTAAGCTATGATCTAAGAACTTGGGACATGGAATCAGACTACAATAAGTGTCAGGAATTCTCTGGGGAGCCTATGGGAGGTGTTAGAATCATAATCAAGAACAGAATGAGGATAAATGCCAAGGAAATAAGAAACCAGAATATAGGAAGCAGTTCCTAATCAGAAGACAACTGAGCATCAATTTGGTCTAGCACTTCTTTGATTCGGTCAAGTACGTGTTTGCTTTGTGGCAAGTTAAAGGATTGTACCTGGCATAGCTTACCAATTTTCAAAGAATCAGAGTGAATCAAACTTGCCTTACACCAAAACTATGCTATGTATAATCCTTCTTTGACTCAGAAGGTACTTTAAAAACTTGCATCTTTTTTCTGTCTTCACTGATGCATATAATTGAACAGTTGATTTATTATGAATAGACTGAAGAACAAATCCAGTATTTTTATAGATAGGTAAATCAACTCCCAGTTTTTTTTAACCTTGAATGGCAAGCAAAGTCAAACATTTGGAGGCAAGAACTATTGGGAAAACCATTTTCTACCTCTGTGCCCAATTGGAATGACATTATTCAAGGTCACTGCATATGGACCCATCCTCTGTCACGCATTGTCCAAGAAGAAAATGGTCTTAGGCAGGGGCAGGGGCAGGAATGGTAGGAAGTTATAATTATGAGAGTGCTGGGCATGTAGAAGGTGAGTAAGTGGTTTTTCTGCTATTTACAACATAGATATTGCATTGTTCTTTACAGCCTTCAGTATATTTCGTTCATTCAAAAATCGTTTTTAAGTGATAGGAAGTAGATAGTTTGCTAGGCATTGGGGAAACAAATGACAGACACATCCTCTGCTCTTGAGGAGCTCACAATCCAGTGAGGAAAAAAAAGGTAAATATTTGAAATACTACGTATAATAAACTCTCAAAAAAGTGTTTGTTAAATGAATAAAATATTTGAGCTTTGAGGCTTAAAATGTGAATGATTTCTTTTGATGGGAAATTCTTTTGTTAAGGAGAAAAAAATGGTAGTTTTAGTTTAGTGTTTCAGTGTGTAATGAGTTATTAATACAATTCCAGATATTATTAAAAACTTTTAGCAGCTGGCCCTCTCTTCCTACTTCTACACATTTCTGTCTTGTTTTCATATTAGAATAAGATGGCAGCTATATTTATGTTCAAAAGGAAAGACAGTATTTGAACTTATTCTTTTTATTACAGATAACCACATGGTGAATATTGGAGATATTATATTTACTTTGGGTGAACTACAGCAACAGTATGAGGATGTTTGTAAGTGAGCTCTTGTTGCGATAGCTCGTTTTGTTTATAAATAAATTAAATCCTAATTTATAGTTTTATCATACAGGTTTTGAAAACCTTCTCTGAACCCTTTTCTCTAACTTTTAAATGAGGGACATAAAAATTTAATGTAATACCCTAAATATACCTAATCAGTATTGATTATATAATGACTATCTCATTTTTCTATTTTGAGATATATCTTTCCCTTAATATTTTACTATCTAGAGCCAACTTTAAAACACAATCGTAACACAAAAAAAGATAATATTTAATTTGCAATTTGTGGGTCATTCTGATATCCTGACATCTATCATTTAAAACATTTTAGTATGTTCTTCGCTATCATTCTTTATTTAGTTTAGTTTTTCTTCATTAAGTACATTGTTTTTGATCTCTTCCTACTGCACATCATGTCACTCCTTACTCTTTCTCTCATTTGTCCAAATATCATTAAGTCAAGATTATCTATGTACATAGTTTTAAGAATTGTGTGGTTCTATAAAGCTTGCTATGAAAAAACAATCTCTTGCTTGATCCTCCCCTCAGCTTCTCCAGAGGCACATTTTAAATGTTTTAGCTGATTACTTGATACTTATCTTCATGACTCTAAATAGCATGTTTATATTGTTACTTGTTGATTTCTAAAATTTTGGGTAGATGCGGTAAACTTCCTGCTATGGAAAGTAAAGATTTAGTTCTGTTTCATCTTCCCTGTCCCCACCACATCTACTTCCTATACCTGTCTTCCCCCATACCTATCCATCCCCCAATAAAGTTATATGGTAACTTGATTAATTTTAATTCAGTGTTTATATTAATATGTTTAATGCTGAGCCATATAGTATCTTGTGGTTACTTTCTTTCTTTGTGCAATTTTTTTCGTTTTTGAATTGATAATTGTCTTCTTTATTTATTTGCTTGGTTTTTGAAAAGTATGTTTATTATTGATCCAACCCCAAACTCTGCCTGCTGTCTAAATATCCTCTCCATAAGTTTGGGTGCATCAGGTATTTTCTCAGTTTTGTCTTCTTAAAGAAATCTTCCTTAGTGTTCTGATATTCTTCAATGTGGATTGTTGCCCTCCACATCTCCTGTTCGGCTCTCATCCTGGGATCTCTCTTAACATTCTGGAGACTTTTCACTTCTCTCATCCTCTATTAGACTCTGGCCTCATGTTTGATTGATAGTTTGACTGAATATAGAATTCTAGATTGGAAATAATTTTCCCTCAGAACTTTGGATTTTCTAATTTTCAGTGTTTGTCAAAGTCCAAAGTTCTTCTGATTCCTGACCCTTTGTATGTAACTGATTTTTGTCTTTGCAAGCTTATTGAATGTTTTCTTTGCATCTAGTGTTCTGAAATTTCATGATGTACCTTGAAATAGGTTTCTTCACAATTGTACTGGGCTCAGTGTCCTTTGATTCTGGGAAAGTAAAACAATTTGTTGATGATTTCCTTTCCTCTATTTTTCTCTTCTCTCTGGAACACTTATTATTTGGATATTTGATATGCTGAACTGATTCTCTCTCTCTTTTTTTAAAAATCTTTTTCTCTTGCCTCTTTGTTCTGCTTTCTGGGAGATTTCTTAACTTTATCTTCCAACTCTTCTATTTAGTTTTTCATTTGTAGTTTTTTGATTTCCAAGAACTTTTTTCCCCTCTGAGTATCATTTTATTATAGCATCTTTTTATTTCATGGACATTCCTGTTTTTCCATGGACATAGTATCTTCTGTTGCACTAAGGAAATTGATAACGTTTTTAAAATTTTCTTTTTCATTCATACTCTGCTTCCTCCAAGTTATTTTCCTCTGATTGTTTGCTTTTCATCTTAGAGGCATTCCTCAACTGTATGGTGATCTTTGATTGTCGGCTCATAATTGAGAATGGTGAACTAAAAAGCTGTTTGGAAGCTCTGAGACTAAGGGTGAAACTAGTTGAGTATCAGCTGAATACTGTAGGGTAGTAGTTCTTAACTAGAGGTGATTTTGGGACTCCACTCCCCCCGCCCCCCACCTCCAGGAACATTTGGCAACACGGAGACATTTTTGGTCATCACAACCTGTGTTATTGGCATCAAGTGATTAGAGGCCAGAGATGCTTCTAAATGGCCTACAATGCACCAGACAGCACCTCTCAATAAAGAATTTATCTGTCCCCAAATGCCAATACTGCTGAGGTCAAGAAACCATGCTATTATAGGGTGATCTAGCTGGGCCATTTTCCTAGAAGACCCTTCATAGCACTATCTTTAGGACTTTTTCCCTTTCAAGATGGTTAGAGCGTTCAAAGAAGAAGCTTCTAATATGTTTCCTGGAGGATAATTTGTTTTTACCAGAGTTCCAGATGTTTAATGAGACAAAAGGACTAGAGTTCCCATTATTTAGTGGTAATAGTCGTGTAACCCTTCCTCCTCATTCTTCATATAATACCCCTACCCTCTATTGTGTTTAGTATTCCCTAATCCAGAGACTGTGTGTTTAACCTTCTCTAATGAATTGTCAGTCTTCTACTGGGGTAGGAGAAGGTCAGTATCTGGCTATGTGAAGGGAATCTAGGTATCTAATTACTACTTAAATGGACTTTTAACCAATCCTTTATTTTTAGCTTTACTTTTAACCTCAATTTCACAGGCATCTAAACACCACTAATTTTTGAGAATTTGGAGGTTTTGTGTTATGAATTGGATTGCTTCTTGACTTTCCCCATTCTGGCTTAGGATTCATCATTTTTAGGTCTACTAAGTTCATCAGCTTGCCAACTTTCAAAATTTTATTGCAATTGTTTCTTTTCATGTTCTTTTTGCTATTATGGACTTATGATGTTTAAAAAATTCCTTTAGTTTTAATGGGGTTTTTGAAGGCTGATCAATTTGCCAGCATTACCTGAAAGTTTCAAAGTTTATTTTGAATTCTAACTTTCTCTCTGGTATAAAAGTTTTTCATTCATTTTTCTTTTGCTATATAGATATTACTGATAATCACATACCTACTCTCATGCGTAATTCTAATCATTATGTCATTTTATTTCTTGTGTGTCTTTGGTGACTTTCTTCTAGTTCTATTACTGAGAAAGGAGCATTGTCTCCAAATGTAATTGTGTATTTGTCTAGTTCTCCTTTCAGTTTTTGGTTCATGCATTTTGAATTTCTGTTGTTAGTTGCATTCACATTTAGGATAGTTACATCTTCTTGATGAAGTGACTCTTTTATCTTTGTGTAATATGTATGTAATCATTGGTAATTTTCCTTGCTCTGAAGTTTGCTTTTTCTGATATTAATATAAGCACTCCAGTTTTCTTTTGATTGGTGTTTACATGGTGTATATTTTCATTCCTTTTACTTTTAATCTTCCTATATTATCATATTTGAAGTATTTTGTAAAGCACATAGAGTTGGATGATGTTTTTGTATTCATTCTCATATCTTTTAGTTGGAGTGTTTAGACCCTTTATATTTAATGTAATTACCTATATGTTCAGATAAAGGTATACCATGTTATTATTATTTTTTCTATTTGTTCCTCTGTTTTTCAACCATTTTCTGCCTTCTTTTGGTTTTTTTGAACGTTTTTTATTATTCTTTTAAAATTTATCTATATGTATTTTCACTATATTTCTGCATTTCTTCAGTGGTTGTTCTAAGGATTACAATATATGTGCTTAACCTTTTGCAGTGTACTAAAAGAAATATTTTACCACTTCAAGTGGAATATAGAAATTTTACCATTACATAAGTCTCTTTACCACTCCACCTTTATCTTGTGATTTTCTTATGTATTACCACTACATACGGTGAAAATGCCATCAGACAATGTTTATAAGTTTTGCTTTCAATAATCAAACATATTTTAAACTTTCAAGAGGAGAAGAATAGCATATTGTGTTTAACCACAGCTTTGCTGTTCGTTATTTCTTTTCCTTCATTCTTGACTGCCCAGATGTCTTTTGGGTATGATTTCCACCCTGTATGAAGAACTTCTTTTAGTAAATTTTTTTTAAGAGCAGATCTACTAAAAATGAATTACCTTAATTTTTCTTCATCCAAGAATATCTTTATTTTCTATAATTCCTGAAGGATGGTTTCATTGAATTTAGGATTCTGGCTTGACAGTTATTTTCTTTCTGCACTTTAAAAATGTTGTTCCTTTTATCTGGCTTCCACAATTTCTGATGATAAATCTGATGTTATTTAAATTATAAAATGTGTTGTTTTTATCTGGTTGCTTTCAAGATATTTTCTTTTTTGTGTGAGGAAGATTCAGCCTGAGCTAACATCTGTTGCCAGTCCTCTTCTTTTTGCTTGAGGAAGATTAGCCCTGAGCTAACATCTGCGCCAAAATTCCTCTATTTTGTATGTGGGATGCCTCCACTGCATGGCTGACAAGTAGAGTAGGTCCACACCAGGGATCCAAACCTATGAACCTGGGCCACCGAAGCAGAGTGCATGGAACTTTAACCACTTGGCAATGGGTCTGGCCACTTTTTTGTCTTTAGTTTTTAGGTTTGGGAGTGGATTTTTTTGTTTATCTTGTTGGGATTTACTGAGCTTCTTCAATCTGTCTTTTGCCAAATTTGGAAATCGTTTTTGTCATTATAACTTCAAATGTTTGTTCTATATAACACTCTTTCTCCTGTTCTTTTGCTTACTGTCCTGTGCTGCCTGTTGTCCAATGTCTGAAAACTGTACTTTTTCATATATCTTGTCCAATTTTTTAGTTGTTTAAGGCTGGAGGGTAAAGTTGGTCCCTATTATGATGTCTTGGCCTAGAGAAGAAATGTCAGGAGCTGGCCCAGTGATGCAGTGGTTAAGTTCACATGTTCTGCTTCGGCGGCCCGGGGTTTGCTGGTTCAGATCCCGGGTGCAGACCTATGCGCCTCTTGTCAAGCCATGCTGTGGTAGCCAACCCACATATAAAGTAGAGGAAGATGGGCATGGATGTTAGCTCAGGGCCAGTCTTCATCAGCAAAAAAGAGGAGGATTGGCAGCGGATGTTAGCTCAGGGCATAACTTCCTCAAAAAAAAAAAGAAGAAGAAATGTCAAAGGCTTCATTTTTTTACCCATTCACTAGCCTATTTCTTTTTGATAGGTAGCATTTAAAGATCCATGTTACCATTTTTTAAAGATTTCCAGACTATTTACACCTAAAACTAATACAATGTTATATGTCAATTAAAAAATAAATTATTAAAAAAATATTTCCAGGTGTTTAAAATCCAAATATTTTCATTCAATTTTTCGTTCTAATAGATTAAACTATGAAACTTTTCATTTTCTCTATGTGAAATGTCTTCATAGTCAAGATTGTATTGCTACTCTGTTGAAGTCTCTTGTTTTCTTTGATTTTATAGGAGCTTGACCATCTCATAGAGTTGTTTTGAGAATCAAGTATTGCAACATTTGAAATACTTTAAAATGTGTTATTCAAGTGTAAGGTACTATTCTGAGCCATCACATGAATTTTGTAAATGAAGCCCCGCTTGGGACATTGTATTAATATTTTTCTGGAGATGTTATTTTACATACGAAGTTATTTTTCCCCCACAAGTACTGAGAATATTTAGGAGAGAAATTATTTGTATTCTAACTTTATAAATAAAAACTTCCACTCTACAACTTCCTCATAGTTCTGCACCCTCATAACTAAAGGATTTGTATCTGTATTGGCTTATTAGTTTGTTATCTTGCTAAATTGGGAAAGAGTAGGGGATGAGAACCTTGAGCTTCAGTAGGATATCACTTTAGATTTGGTATAACTTTGAAGATCTTTGGATGGAAGTATTTAAATATATTAAACCAGCAAATTATAATAAGCCTAGTTAATAGTTCAATCTTTTGGTCATCAGCTTTGTTAGTTTTTTCAACTTAGTAACTTTGTTTTATGTATTTAGGCAACTGTAATTTCTTGAATAGCTTTCGTGAAGACTTAGTTGTTATTTTTTAAATATTATGGATTGTACAGGTAAATCAAATAATTGAACATATTTCTCTTGCTTAGCAATTATGGAAGGATCAGCCTTGGATGAAACTACTTCAAAGAGAAAGTTATCAAATGTGTCAGGATGCTATCTACAGTATAGGAAGAAAAACATTTTCTCTTCTAGACAACCTGAACCATCATTATCCCAAAAGATAATTAGGAAAGGCCCCCAAGATTGTAAAATTATGGAAGAGAATGATGACTTTGAATTTAAAAGATCAAAAAATACTTTGCAAATGAGAAAATTCCTGGATGACGTTGACAGCAGTGATGTAGGATTCCAGGAACCATATTCAAAGGATGGCGTAAACTTTGACAGAAGTTCAGAGAAGATGGAAATTCATGATTCAAAGTCTAAACCACAAAACTTGAAGAGTATTACAAGCCTCAAAAAGTCTCTGGATAAAAGTGATATATTTAGTACCCCAAAACTTCAGAAGCCAGCTGTGAGAAGGCATTCCAGCCTTCTAAAACAGATTTCATCTAAGGAAAAAATTGTAATTAATGCTCTGGGTCAGTATCTATATATCTAAGTCAAAATCTAGGTCCTTGAGTTCTTTAGTCATCACAGAAACAAGCTGAATTAATCAGTTATTAGATAGTTATAGGCATTTCAGTTGTAAATACTCTGGATAACTACCACTTCTGCTACATATGCCAATGGATACAGTACTGTGGTTTTGATGGTTGTTCCTTTCCAGATGCTCCCTTTTTTGGGAGCCTAACTTTGGCTGAGAAGCTTATTCAGTGATTAATTTGAGTCATTCAAGTTCCGTAGAAAGTAGAGGCCTTGTTTTCCTTTGGAAATGCTTGTTTTGTAATTTATTTAACCAAGTATGTAAGAAGTCTATGTGAAACTTTTGCTCAGAGTTCCATACTTTAAATATATGATAGCCATAGTACTTCAGGTATTATCTCTTATGGATGTTGGAATATCAAGAGAAAGTAATTAACACTATACATCTCAGGTCCCCAAGGTTTTATGGTCTTCGTCAAAGATGAGCGGTGATTTCCCAACCAATATGTTTTCCCCTTCTGTGCTGGTTTTATCATGGAAGTACTGTGTATGGATCCTAATTAAATACTCCTTCCTGTAGTCCTTGGCTGAAGTTACTGTTTACTTTCTTTAAAGAAACTTACTGACCTTTTTATTGCATTTATTGTTGAATGTAATTGTTAAAATGAGTGCTTAATGAAAAATTAGTGATTCTTGTACACTAATGGATACTTTAAATGTCAGTTGAAAAAGGAATATAATTAAGGAGGTGCACACATGTTCATTCTGATTCCCTTACTGATACGCTGCTGTTACTCTGTGCCTCATTTCTATTTCTGAGTTCTTTGTATTTCAATAAGAATTAAAGCCCTGGTTAAAGAAATAATGGAGTAGTAGGCATTTAGCCAGTGGGTAGAAGAGGCCTGCGGAAGAAAGTGGTTATCTACCTTCCTGGTGTCACTTAAATCAAATGATGTCACCTACCACTGCCATACTTAATGTTCTGTATATGGAGAAGTATGAAATAGTTTATCTGGTATAACTTCTCCAAATAAATTGATGGTAAGTGAGCATCTATGAAATGTGACTGCCACTTGATTTACATTTTAAAAACATTTTTAACTTTTCATTTTGAAATAATTTTAAATTCATAAGAATTGTAGGAAAGTAAAAACGTTCCTGTGTACTCTTTATCTAGTTTTCCCAAGTGTTAAGATCCTGTATAAGCATCATTTTATATATATATATATATATAAAACAATGATCTAAACCAGGAAATTAACACTGATAACAACATTATTTACTAATCTGAAGACCTTATTCAGATTTTGACAGTTGTTCCATGAATGTCCTTTTTCTGGCCCAAGATCTCATCCAGGATCACGTATTACATTTAGTTGTCAGGTGTCCTTAGTCTCCTCTGATCTGGGATGGTTTCTCAATCTGTTATGACTTTGACACTTTTGAAGAGTACTGACTAGTTGTTTTGTATAATGTCCCTCATTTTGGGTTTTCCTTATGTTTCTTCATGAGTAAATTCAGGTTATGCATTTTTAGCCAGAACACCACAGAAGCAATATTGTATCCATCTCAGTGCATCATATTAGGAGGCTCATGATGGCCATGTGTATCTGCTTCTAGGATTTTATGATTTTGAAGGTTGTGAACTGAAAGCATAGTAGAGTAAAGTGATGGGAAGGGGAGGAGCTCTCAATTTTTGTTTGGAATCCTGGAATTTAAACAAAACACATTGGTGTTTTGATCTCTTGAACTTATTCATTATATTTTACTCAGAACCAAGCAGCATTGGCTGGGCCACTGGAACAGGCTGTTCCTCCAAACAGGTAGTTTATAAATGTTTATAGAATTTCAAGATGGTTTTGTGTTTGAGCTATACGAGAAAGATTAAGTATAATATAAGATACAACACAAATATGGAGAGAAAAGCAGTCCTTCTATAAGGTAATCTTAAGTAGATAAAACTTGCTTTCTGCCTACTAGATAGAGATTTTAGGTGCCAATTATTGCTTAAGATACATAAATTCTGCTGCTGAATAGTCCTCCACATTTTGTATATTTAGAAAATGTCAGTGAAGCTATCAGTAAACTCCAAGAAAATTACCTTGCTGCAGAACTTCAGTCCATTTTGCCTTCAATAGGAATTACTTTATCAGATAAAGAGTTCAAGAAGATTGTGACAGATACTACTAGAAACGGTAAGATGATAATACCAGACTTATGGAAAAAATTAGTTGCTTTTATGGAATGGTATTAAATGTTAGAGTAAGTTCTCTCAACTAGGAATGAAAGAGAATGGGCCATTCTAAAGAAGATTCAGAAAGAACAAAAATAAATAGTAGTAAAAAAAAACATTCCTGGAAAGTCTGACCTAATGGATTGGTTTGGAGGGGCTAGGCCTTTCATATCTCAGAATTGTTTCAGTAAGGCTCTTCATCACTATCCCTAGCTATGCCTTCTAGTGTGGGACAGGTACTGGGGAAGGCTGATGCAGTTGTAGAGAGGTTCAGGCAGTAAGACCACAATATACAAGGGGTACAAAAATCTCTAAGCAAATCCAAGGACAAGTAATTGGAGATTCCAAATTGTAGAGAGAGTACTATAGCTAGGAATTTAGGGCTAGTGATACTTAAATAATCAAGGCAGGCAGTTAGCATTTAGATATTAAATGGCATATCCCAGTCACCAGCCTAAGTTCAAGGCAGAGTTTAAGTTTTCAGGAACAGTTTTTATATTAGAGAAGTTGTTTTATCATTCAGCAAAAATTGTCCACAGCAGAAGTTCAGTTGAGGAGAGGGCAGAGGCAACATTTTGAGGAAAGGCTGACTTGGGAATAACGTTAGAAGTGAATTCTTAGAACTTCAGCAAAATTTCTTAGCTAAGGCAACTAGGAAAGAAGATTTAATTTAAAACAATCTAAGGAGCGAGTGCTACTAAAATTATTGAGCCCTTCCTGCTGCTTATCAGGATTGGTATGATCACTGTGGAGGATTTGTATCTAAGAATAGGTAGTTGTTTGGACCAGCTGGATGCCAGGAGTAGGAATGGGGATACTTGGGTCTGTCAGGGCTGGTTAGTATTGTAAAGGTGTGTTAATGGATAGCATATTGACTTGGTTTTCATTATGGTGTGAAATAGACTCCTTAACTTTCTTATGGGCTATCTTTATGGCCACTTTTCCTTTTTCCTACATCTATCAAGAACTGAGTACCTAACTCAGTCCTTTTCAATTTGTAATAGATATTAAAAAAGCATGGGCTGTGTCTTACTTAGTTTTGTATCCTTGGTGCCTAGCATAGTTCTTGGCACTAGTATGCCCTCAGTAACTGTTGAATGAAATAAACTGACCTAATTTATTTAGAAAGACTTACCTAGGGAGACAGGATATGAAGGAGAAATAGGATGATGATGAAGTGAAGGATAAGTAATTTTTATCATAGTTGTATTAAAATGTGAATTGACCTCATATGCAAAAATACAACAAAATTTTTAATCTAAACTCTTTGTTTTACAGAAAATGGAATGGTGAAGTTAGATGACTTTATGAGTGCTCTCTCCAAGGAGCAAAGTCTTCCTGGATATGATGGTAAGTAGGAAATTTATTTTAAAATGATTTGGAGGAAAGAGCAATTAAGTTGAGAAGAACAAGGTTCAACTGAACTGAGTTTGCTTTTTGTATAGAACTTAATAGTCCTGAAACCCTTAGGCAAGCTACTTGGCCAGTTTTTTAAAAACTTGCTGTATCAGGGTAATAGTAGCTAATTTACTTATCACAGAGTTATGTGGATTTTACAAACTGAAAAATGCTACATAAATGTACAGTAATAGTAATGATAATGCGGAGGTCAAATAGGTAATTAGCCCCATTATTAGCAATTGATGGGTGATTTGGTTTTTAATTTTTTGTAGGAACTTGTTTGAATGAAATACTGGTTTGGTTTACTTTTGTTTTAGAACATTTTTAAAAACAGTTCTATTGAGGTGTAATTTACATACATAAAATTCACCCGTGCACTAATTCTTATTAAGTTTGTAGAGTCATACAACCATCACCACAACCCAGCTTTTTTTTGCATGCAATGATTTGTTTTTTTTAATACAAATAATGAAATATTTGTCAGCAAGATTAAAATAAGTAAAAGTTATTAAGGCTTGCTGTTATTTCCTTCTGTTTATTCATATGCTAAAAAAAGAAAGATAAGCTTTTTGTCTCTTCCCAAGATTTCTCAGATAAGGAAAAATTAATCCAAAGGAAGAGACTTCTTTTATAACCTAGATGAAGAGTCTCATGCTAAAAGCTACATTATCATTTGTCATTTCTGATGAATGTAAGTGCTTAAATGTCTGGATTTCTTGAAGACACTATTAGCAAATCAATGTCTAGAATGCTTCACCATGCAATCATTCATTTACCAACTCAGTCATTTTACTGCCGTTTTGTGAAGTAGTGAGTGTCTTGGTCACAGCTGACTCTTCCTCTTTTTTTTTTCTTCCCATTATACTATTTTTTAAACTTATGTTTAATTGTGGTAACTAGTACATGATATAAAATTTACCATCTTAACCATTTCTAAGTATACAGTTCAGTAATGTTAGTGTTAAGTATATTTACACTGTTGTGCAACCAATTTTCAGAACTTTTTCATCTTGCAAAACTGAAATTTTATACCCTTTACGCAACTACTCATCCTTGCCCTTCCAGCTTCTGGCAACCATCATTCTGCTTTCTATTTCTGTGAATTTGTCCATTCTAGATACCTGATTGGAATCATACAGTATTTATCTTTTTGTGACTGGCTTATTTCATTTATCGTAATGCTGTCAAGATTCATCCATGAATAAATTTAAAAAATAAGATTCTTCCATGTTATAGCATGTTTCAGAATTTCCTTCCTTTTTCATGCTAAATAATATTCCCTTATATGTTTATACTACATTTTGTTTATCCATCCATCAGTGGACACTTGTGTTGCTTCCTTGTCTTGGCTATAGTGAATAGTGCTGCTGTGAATATGGGCATGCAAATATCTCTTTGGGCTCCTGCTTTCAGTTCTTTTGCATGTACACCCAAAAGTAGACACAATCCAGTTTTGCAACATTTACATCACTCCTAAAAATTCTCTTATGTCAATTTGTAGTTAATCTCCATCCCCTTTCCCAGACAACCACTGATCTGCTTTCTGTCTCTATAAATTTGCCTTTTTTGGACATTTAATATAAATGAAATCAGATAACATGTAGTCTTTTGTGCCTGACTTCCATCACTTTGAATAATATTTTTGAGGTTAATTCATGTTGTAGTATGTATCAGTAGTTCATTCTTTTTTGTTGCTAAGTAAATCTGTATTATATTTTATGGATATACTCCATTTTGTTGATGGTTCACCAGTTCATGGACATTTGATTGTTTTCAGTTTGGGACTGTCATGAATAATGCTGAAATTAACATTTGCATACATGTCTTTCTGTGGGTGTATGCCTTTGTTTTTCTTGGGCAGATTCCTAGGAAAACAGTTGCTAGTCTCCATGGTAAATTTATGTTTAGCTTTTTAAGAAATTGCCAAACTGTTTTCCAAAGTGGCTATGCCATTTTCATTCTCACCAGCAATGTATGAGGATTCTAGTTTCTTCATATCTTTGTTGACACTTGGTATTATCTTTTTGATTATAGCCATTATAATAAGTGTAGTGGTATCTCATTGTGGTTTTAATTTTGCATTTACCCAGTGATTAATAATATCAAGTATATTTGTACATGCTTACTAGCCATTCATATATGTTTGGTAGAATATGTATTCAAATCTTCTGCCCATTTTTAGAATTCCATTTTGATTTATCTATAGTGTTTTAGAGTATATCTCTTTGTATAGCTTTTTTAGTGGTTTCCCGAGGTGTTACATTATATATACATAACTTATCACAGTCTATTGGTTATCATTTGCCAGTTCAAGTGAAATATAGAAACCTTATCTTCTTTTATGTCCCTTTATCCTCCCCCATTTATGATATAATTGCCGTAAATATTTCCTCTACGTATATTTAAAACCACATCAGACAGTATTGTAATTTTTGCTTCAACCATCAAACATAATTTAAAAACTCAAGAGGAGAAGGAAAGCCTACCATATTTACCCATATTGTGACGCACTGTTTTCTTTCTTTCTTCCTAATATTCCAGAGTTCTTTGTTTATCTTTTCCTTTCTGTTTAAAGAACTTCCTTTAGCCATTCATAGGTCTCCTGGCAACAGATTCTCTTAGTTTTCTTTCGTCTGAGAACATCTTGACTTCTTCATTTCTGAAGAATATTTTTTCTGAGAATGGGATTTTGGGTTAACAACTCTTTTCTTTCAGCACTTGAAAAATATTGTGCCACTTCTTTCTAGCATCCATGGTTTCTGATGGAAATCCTGTCATTCTCATTGTTTCTTTTTCCCTATTGATAAGGTGTCATTTTTCTTTGGCTGCTTTCAAGAATCTTTTCTTTGTCTTTAGTTTTCATAAGTTTAATTATGATGTGTCTTGGCATGGATTTCTTTGGGTTTATCCTGTATGAGTTGCATGTACTTTTTTGGATCTGTAGGTTAACGTCTCTTGCTAAAAATTTGGGACATGTTCATCCATCATTTCTTTGAGTACCTTTTTGGCCATGCTATCTTTCTCTTCCTCCAAGACTCTGATGACACAAATGTTGGATATTTTTTATATTTCTACAAGTCCCTGAGATTCTGTTCATTTTTTCTGTGTTGTTCATTGGGTGATTTCTATTGCTGTCTTTCAGTTCCTTGATTCTTTGCTCTCTCCCCTCCATTCAGCTGCTGAGTCTATTCCACTGAGCTTTTTATTTCAGTTATTATGTTTTTTAGTTCTAAAACTTCCATTTGGTTTTTCTTGATATTTTTAAATTCTTTGCTGAAACTTTCTATTTCTTTGCTGAGGTGCTCAGTTTTTCTTTTGTTTCAAGTGTGTAACTGCTCACTGAACTGTTTTTGTCATGTCTGCTTTAAAATCTTTGCCAGATGATTCTAACTCCTCTGTCATCTCGATGTTACCATCTATTGATTGTCTCTTTTTGGTCAGTTTGAGATCTCCCTGGTTCTTGAGATGATGAGTGATTTTTTTATTAAACCTTGACATTTTTGTATTATGAGATTTCTTTTTTAAACTTTTTGTTTTTAGTTGGCTTTCTCTGACACTGCTTTACCAGGGAAAGGGAGGGTGCAACCTCCTTACTGCCAGGTAGAAGTAGAAGTCCAGATTCCCCACTCAGCATTCACTGCAACCCAAGGTGGGTGACATCTCATTGCTACTGGCTGGGGATGGGAGTTCTGGCTCCCCATATGGTCTCTACTGATATGACTGTGGGGGTGGCCTTGTTATTGTTGGGTAATATTGAAAATTCTGTCTCTCCACTAGTCCTGCTCTGCTGCTACCCCAGGAGGAGGTGCAGGAGTGCCTTGTTATTGCTAGATGGGGATAGAAATCCAAGCTCCTCACATGGTCTCCACTGACACTGTGGAAGGGGGCCCTTTTTATTGGCTAGTGGGAATGCAAGTTTGTATATGTCTGTCTGTGTCTGAAGCCTGAATTCAGATATATACACCTTGAGGTTGGAGAATGCTGCCGCCAGTAGAGACTGATTGCTTTGAAATGGGCTATCCTTTGCCTAGACTAGGAAGTTGGTTGTCACACCTTTCATGAGGAAAGTCTAAACCACTTTTTGATAGCTGGAATTGCTGATGCTGAAAGAGAGAATGAATAGATGTTACTGGAGCTGATTAAGTCTTCTACTCCTGCTACTAGTACTAGTGGTAGGGGAGATTCCTGTCCAGGCTATGTTGATACTTTGAGGAAGAAGGAATACACTACTTTCTAAGTGTTATGTTTAGCTAAGAGAGCTTTGCAGTGAAACTGGCCTGTGTTGCTAAGTGTATATAGCACTTTAGATGCACCTGTATCAAAGAAGCATTGTCTGAGTTGAAGCAAGAGAGCTCCATGACAAACTGCACCAGAATCTCAAAAGTATAGCTCTTTATATCCCCTCCACTGCCACTTTCTAGGGCACAATCCCCAGTCTTGGTGGGCTGGATGAGAATGGGGGTACTTATTGGCATCCCAGGAATTAGAACCATCTTTGCCCTTGCTGACTCAAGACGATGGCCAGACTCCTCATTCTGTCTTTCTGTACCCTGCCCTTCTCTGACAGATTACCCTAACTTTGAATTTTAAGAATAAAAGGTTGGAGACTAGTTCTCTTCTTTTACCTGGGATCTTTATATAAAATGTTCCACCCTCTCGGCAGATTTCTGCATTCCATGTGGTATTGGATGCATGCAAGCCACTGAAAGAGAAGTGTGTCTGTTACTCTACCTCCAGGTTGGCTGCAAATGACTTTCCACCCCATCTCAAATCTGCTGTCTCTACCTCTAAAGTTTAAAAGAGCTGTTAACTTTTGTTATTTTATTTTGGTGAGAACACTCAACATGAGATCTACTCTCTTAAATTTTTAAGTGTACAATACATTATTGTTGACTATTGGTGCTATGTTATATTGCAGATCTCTAGACTTTATTCATCTTGCTTGACTG